AGTAGTAGAAGGACCACATTTTTCCAATGGTTTTTCAAGAAAAGTTCAGTTCTTGCAGCTCTAACGCATAAGGAAATAATTTTGCATTCAACAAGAATGACAGTTTGCCTAAATAGAAAATAGATTATTTTCCAAATCCATAGAAATGTTAAACAAATCATTGTCAGATCACGTGCAAGACCTGTCTTGCACTGTTGCAGCTATTGATGGACTGCTGAAGTAAGATATATTTTGATACAGAGAATGGGTGTGGACAGAGGTTCCAGGTTTATGCCCTTGTTTCTCACAGCTGAAGGGACACAGTTTCTTTGTAAATCTAAAATATGTTAAGAATTCATGAATGAAGTTCATGAAGAGTATAATTTCAATGAGTCCAGTCTTACTTGTTTGTTTTCTTACTCTTAAAATAATTTAAGCCAGGAATAAACCACAGTAAATTGGTTACTACTGAAATCTACAGAAAAATTATCTGAGCAAATCACACTTAACAATAACATAGCTATTTCTTGTCAATTGCTTCACAAAACTGAATGGAAATTTGATGGCATACTGCAAGGCAGTAGGCATGAATATCAACACTAAAATGCCTAGTTATTTGTATTTCAAAAATGTTAAATAGCTGAAACAAATGACAAAGTCATGCTTCTGCCATTCATAGAATTAAAAAAAAATAATTAAGTGATTAGATGGTATATTAAGAGCAAAAGCTGTTTTCATGTGCTCAGATCTAGATTTGGCTTCAATTTGGGTTGAAGTAAGGTTTAGAAATGTGTCTCCTTTTTTCACCGTGGGCACAGTCAGGCATTGGAACAGCTTGCTCAGAGAAGTTATGCAGTCTCCATCCTTGGAGGTTTTCAAGACCAGATTGGCCACAGCCCTGAGCAACATGGTCTAACTTTACAGCTAATCCTGCAGCAGGTTGGACTAGAGACCACCTGAGGTCCCTTCTAACCTGAATGATCCTATCCTGATAGGTTATTGTGGTAGAACTACTACTATTAAGAACCTATGAGCATTTCTGTTTGAAGGTTCGTAATCGCTTATTTTCTTAGGCAAAATATCCTCAACTTGTATCTAATAATTTACAAGCAGCTTTCATTTGAAATGAAACTTTGCCAGGACTGAGTTAGACTTTGATCCCATGAAGTGTTGAGAGGTTGAAGTATGATTCAACAAGGACCTCAGAAATAAGAAAAGCTTTTAAATACCTCTAAAACCTACAGATGCACAACTTAGGAGTTTGGTGCTTACAAATTAAATTAAGACCAAAGTCTCTATGTTACATGTGACTTTCAAGGTCATGTCCTCCGAGTGCTAAGATTATACCATAATAAGAAACAAAACACAGGTCAAATTCTTCCCTTGAGAAATTATTCTGATGAAATGAAGGTCTTAAAAAAAGTTACCTCATCCCATTTTAAAAGATGCAAAGAGAATTAAAAGTTGTCAGCAATACCAAAAAGGAACTAATGAAAAGCACAGAGCAGTACATCTGTAGCATAGTCTGCAAAAGCAAATTTTTATCCCATGCATACAAAGGTATCAAACTGAACTTACATTCTGCAATTAATTTCATACAGGCAACATAACGCACTCAATTCAGTGTTAGTTGCAGGATTAGGCCTAGTCCAATTACTAAGACGTATATCATAAACAGTAATGTTAAGGAAGTCTTATAAAAAATATTTATTCTCTTGTGGAATATCTTGAAAAACTGATATATAAATCATTATCATCACCTGCAAAAAGATCTAACTGCAACATGAAATATTTCTCTGGCTCTGAAACATGCAATAAAGTTTGTTGCACAATTTTAAGTCTGTATGTGAATTTATTTCTCAGTTCTAATACAAAACAAGAAAATTAAATTTAACAGCTAATATTTAGTCTTGATATCTTTGGTGAATTCTTGAGTTATGATAATGTCTTACTATGCCTTGAAATAATAAAAAGCATTTTAAGACAATATTACTATTAACTTAAATACTGATCTTCAGTTGTAGAAGTTCTGTGAGGCAAGTTATTATAATTTTTGTCATGTTATATCTACTTTTATAAGCATATAATGAGATAAGCACCAACTTACTGTACAGCAAAATTGACTGAGTTCACACAGATGTTACCTTGGTTCATGATGCACTTGCTTTTAACTTCCATCCCTAAGTTAAGGTTGTAACAGGTTAAAAGCAACATTAAAAAAAAAAAAAAAAGGGGGGGGGTTTTTTTTGAGCTAAATTTAAGTTTCCATCTTGATAAACATACCTGGGACACACGGAGAATAGCAGCTATTATATCACATAAGAAGATATCACAGCAAAGCTACAAGCTGTAACAATTAATGGGAAAACATATACAATAACAAAACTGATCATCTGACCCTGCCCAATTCATCTTATGCAGGACCACTGTTGCATCCAAGTTACACCATGGAAAAAATCTATCTATTCCACAAAAATTAATTCTAATTAAGCAACTTTTTAAAATATGGTATTATCCAGCATTAATAAGGCTCCTTTTTTAAAATAGAAAAAGAATTGTGCTTACTAACATATCGCACACAAAAAAAGGATACTTTTTCCCTTAGGCTAGAGAGTACATAGATATAAGTTTTCTTCAAGCTATTCATAGCTAAAATCTGGACAAAATAGCACTAGATTACATTTTCCACTTTCCCTGCACAGTGCAGCATTTAGACTTAAGATTTAAGAGCATGTTGGATATACAGACTACTTAATGCAAGAACAAAACTTGCTAGTATGTTCGTATGTTTATGTTGCATAAGATAATACAATCCATCTGTTGGAAAAATCCTCACTGAATATTATATCTGTCTTAGTAATAAACATGAATAGAAATCAAGATTATTTTTTTTAAATCCAAAACTGAGCAATAGTGAGCCTTACAAAGAAATATGTTTAGGAACCTGAGGCAAATTATACATGTTAATGTTGGAGTCACTGAGAACAGTTAACACAATGTAACCAAATGTCAACTGGAATATTTTGCAGTAACTTACTGAAGAGGTCTGTGTTTAATGAATATACGAACGCTTGGTTTCTAAGTTTTCACTTCAGATGGAGAAGATTAAGTGCTAAGGGTGTTACTGTAAACGTTTAAGTGAGATGAACATCACTGATTTTCTAATTTTACCACATGGTTTATTTCAGAAGAAAACAAGCACCAGTTACATAGTTCTCCTGCAAGTCAGTAAACAGTCACACATGAAAACTCAATACAATTTGCTTCTTTGTTTATGTGCAGGATATTTAGTTTGGTTTGCAAAGTATTAGAAGAATAATAAGAACCTCCTGACAGAATACCACAACTAAATTTCTAAAAAGCCACTCAGTTAATCTCAGTGTTGAATCTAGCTGTTTCAAATTACTGTAATGTATAATAACAGTCTTATTGACAATATAGATGCACAGAGCCAAAAAAAGCTAGAAATAGTGGCCAAAATGATGAACTATAAGCGCCAGCCCAAATGACAACAAACATATGGCCATTAACTGAAGAATGAAGGGGTTTAGGAATGCAGCTGCCTGTGGTCTCCTAAAAGTTCCAGAGGAATGAAATGCTGTGAGGATTGGCAAAGTCTGGATGAGAAGTACTACTGAAGATGGTAGGTCCTAAAATGGAGTCAACCATACGTTCATGTTGGAATTCAGAGATTTCTGTGGTCAGAATATATTCATTCCATTGGCCTCATAACGTACATCAACAAATTAATATTGTATGGATGTCATTTCAAAGCCTACTGAAGACGAAGAGCCATTATTGAAGCCATTAGAGCACAGATGGTTCAAACTATATGCAGATATTCATACTTGCATTTCTGCATTATAGCTGGTTTTTTTTTGTTCTGTTGAACTGTAATGAATTGTCTCATAATCTATTCCATCTTCTTGCCATTAGCAGGCTTTGAATGTTCACAAATAGGAGCAAAGAACTCATTTTCCAGAGCTTTAATCACACAAAGAGGGAATGCCTAATTCTCTAAATGAAATGGTCTGTGATCACTGAAGCAGAGATTTAATATATCACGGCAAATTAGGTAGATTTTAATAAATTACTTATCTCTCTGAATACTTTACATATGCTTATGAAGAAACATAGCCTGTTTGCAAACACTGGAAATCCACAGCCTATAAAATCCTTTGAAGAAAATGACAAATAAAAAAGTAAATTAAAAAATGAAATGTATTATAACCTCGTTCTCAAGAGACAATCCTTTTGCAGCATTGATTCACAGCTCCATTAAAAATATCAATTAAATCCTTCACTGAGATTGGTTAAAAGCTGGAAAATTAACTTTCCAAGCTAGACACTAGTTATTCAGATACAACAATTCATTGTATATGTTTGATTTAGTTTCTAAAAGTGACAAAAAACAAATGAGAACACAGTTGGCCTGTCCCTACAGCTCAAACTAGGTGAAGCAAAATCTGATACTGTATGGCTTCTTTTTGTGCTTTGACAGATGTTGGCAGAAAGTGAATATTTTACTGTACAGAAGAATAATTGTGCCTGCCCTCCCCCTACTTCAAATCATGATAATCATAAACAGCTGATTATAATGTTAGTAGAAGGCTAAAAGTTATTTAAAAAAAGGTTGCAGTAATTTAATAAGTCCTGCAACTAGCCTCATTTTTTATATTTAATTGATAGGAACTGCATGCATCAAAGAAAACACATACTGAGATTTAATGTGCATAAAATGGATATTAGCATTTTAAAGAGGCAGATTAACACATTAATCCAAGTAATTTTCATATATTGCTTTTAATAAAATCTTCACAGTATAAAATTCTTAATGAGGCTAATCACAGGCATTCCATTTAGTGGGGTGATTAGGGATAACATAAAAGTATTTTTAATCAGTTTTCTAAGGCTTATGGTTTTTTATTAAAAATTAAAAATTTGACTTGCATTTTTATTACTGTTTTATGTAGGAAAAAATCTTGAAAATGCAAATAAAGCACATCATTCAATCATGTAGGTATTAATTATTTACAAGACGTTGTCCATTGTGGAGAGATTCTTAGCCTTAGGGGGGAAATATAAAAACAAACAGACTGAAAAGTATACAAAACTTTACAACTACAAATCAAGCATCCTTTTCATATAAATTATACATTAAATATACCATAAGAATTACAAAGATCTCATCTTTGAAGTACTATCAAGCATGTATTTACACTGGGAGAAGGAACTTCTGTAGGCAAACTTCCCTTTCATGCCTCCTAGTCATCTTTGCATTCCTCATAGACTGAACGCAGCGCATGGAGGGCTTCCACTGTTACTTTGAGCTTTCCAATTACTGCACTATCATCTTGTGAATCGAAAACTAGAAAGGAAACATCAGAAAACAGCATTAGCAATTTCATTTAAGGTTTTGCTTTTGTTCTGATAATTTTCCTTAGCATTTGGACAGATTAAAAGGCACCTAGCATATGCTTAAAAAAGAGAAAAAAAGACGAAATAAAAAAGAAATCTTCCAGTTCAGGCACTCAATGTACTGGAAACCGAGTACTCTAAGAACGAGAATGTACATGAATAAAAGTATAAGTGTTGGAATTAACTGTGAAATAAAGAAAAATATCTGTATAATAATTGCCTAAATTAATTATTTTTCACAATATGTAAATAAAGATGTTCCAAATTCTATTAAAGACATATATGCATGCTTATAAATAGTTTTAAGTAAAAAATACAGCAATTAATGCATTTTCTACACTGTGTGTATGACCAGTCCAAATCAGCCTGGACAGTTATTAGTATTATAAGAGTAAATTATTTTTTCCAGTTGGTGCAATGCATAATTATTTTAATTCCAGTCTTCTATGTGTTGTAAAATAGTGAGTGTAGACAAAGATGGTACTTCCCTTAGACTAAACTATTTAACTACCTTCATCTTTGTGTATGTGGGTTTTAAAGTAGTATTTAAAATTTCTATTTTACAGAAATGAGCTAACATGATTTAAAATTGCACTCTTTTACAATATCTAAGTAAGCCCAGAGGGCCACAATCTCTGCTGTTGTGATTAAAAACATGCTGCTAACAGGAAAAACATGAGGCTCTTTCCAATCCTCGATAAAAAGCAATGAGGCTGCCTAAAATGACACTAGAAGGGATTTGAATAAAAACAAATAATCTTGACAGCACATCTTTTCAAAGCAAATTATACAGCAGACAAATGGCAAGGTTATGTATTTACTATATAATCTCGGATAGGTACTCTGGGACATGCTACAACTTCTAGGCTGCTGGGGACAGCTGAGAAGAGGTTTGGAGAAGAAAAAAACATGGGATAAACCTTCCATCTTTTACTTTGTTGATAGCGCTATTATAGGACAGACTGGATGCTATTCTTAGCGATCCAAATCACTTTGTATATCCTTGGACAAATCACTCAGTGAACTGTCAACTTAAAGAGCACGCTTCAGGGGACATTATTCTTTTTACTTATAAGAATGATAGGATAACTGTAATTAATGATATCAGAAGACAACATTAATTCTATTTTCTTAGTTTTAACATTGTCATATTATCTCTGAGACATATTGTTATATGTCTTGTCTATATTCTTTTCCATCCAGCCTCTTGCTGAGCCATTCACTTAATTGCTTCAAATTTCATGTAGGCCACTTCCACACAATCAGCAATGAAAGGAACAAGATATGAAAAAGATATATGCTTGCAGTCCTCAAAAAGAATGAAGGAAGTTTATGGTATCTAACTTAAGAATGATTAGATCTTCATGTGGTAGTGTCCTATGAATTTACCTGTGACTAGGTTTATTCTTTTTCCCTCAAACCAACAGCCACCTCAGAGAACGTGTACAGTATTACTTAGGAATTTTATTTATTATGCCATTACATTTAGTTGAAGTCTGTGTCCAGATCTTAAGAACAGGTCCTTTTACAATGACTTTGTCCAAGAAAATATACCGATATATTCCACTTTTATCGTGATCTGACATATATTAACATAAAATTAATTTCAATTCTCTGAAATTTCTAAATTTTCAGAAAATATGGTATGGATGCAATAAAAACAAAATCTAAACTGTACAGCATCTGCAGGGAAGGGGAGAAGTGTGGACAGAAATAAGAATAAAATTATTTCTATCTATTACTATCACTTTCATAGATATAATGTACACAACGGAAAAATTAGTTCAAATGTCTTATGATCAGGGGAAGAAATGCTCCTCACAATATTGAAGTAGTTGTCATTACATAGTAATGATTACCTTTTGACAGAACAAGTAACTAGTAACTAAGTAACAACTAACTAACAACTAGTAACAAAAACCAGTCTTTCCTGTCATAATAATAATCTCAGGTGACGATCAGGAGTTTTAAGAGTTTTGTGAAAGGTGACTTTCAAGGGTACAAAATTATATTTATATCACTAATCAATCGTATCAAATGGGAATTATGACAATGGGAATTATGGCCGTAAAATCCATAACAAAAATAATTTTCCAGTGAGAGACTATGAAATACCTTTTTGGAGGAGATGTGCTTTTGTACAACTACTTGGAGAAAAATTATTAGTGGAGAAAAGATGAAGTGGTTCAGCCACAGTAAGAAGTGCATCAAATCTGTATATTATTTTTCCAGGGTATGGAAATTTGATTCTTCTTAGAATTTTCCTTATCGTGTTCCTGGAACTTTGATGCATACTTTGAGTATTTTAGCTGCAGCATGGATGCAAATCATGCATGATAATGGAAATGGATAAGAAAGCCTATTTCTTTCCCTCACTACACAGCTCCCCACCACTCAAGGTATGGTAATTAGACACAGCAGTAAAAGTAGCAAAGTCGCATTAGATTGGCATTCTATTAGGGCCAACTAGAATTGCTGTTGCACAGCGTACCTTGCAAAATGGTTGCATTGTGTCTAGTAATCAAGCTGGTTCACTCACCATTATAGGAGAGCAACTGTTTTATAACAGATATACTCTCAACTTCTTCACTGAGCTTTACCACAATGGGGAAAGAGGATGGAGATCAACAGGTAAGGAGAAAAATGCACCATTGATAACCATGTCCCTGCTACCTTGGGGAACAGGAAAGTCTTAGCAAGGAGAATATTTTCCTTCACTGTCTATGAAAGGACCGAGTAGCCTTCTCAGGTCTTTTTATCAGCATTATAAAAATGCTGTCCTAAGACCCAGGAAATGGAAGATTCCACACCTCCTACTCACCTCGTCTTGCTTTCATGAGTCACAGTGAAAGTTCAGTCATAGTCTGTTACAGAAGGATACTTACTCTAAACTGATACCTAACCAAAGCTGCCAGTATTTCATATTGTCTCTGATACAGGTTTCATATGGAGGACACAAGCTTGAGGTACTCTGGGGTTTATAACATAACTTCAAATAAAATATAGACATTAGCAATACAGAATTACTGGCATAAATTTTAATAACAAAATGCATATTTGTAGGCTTACTAGCATGAAGTATGTTGTACAGAATAGAGAATTATAAGTGGACATGTCCTGAAAGTTCTTAGGTTTTATAAACTAATTATTATGAGCTGGGAATGCTGGTTTGTTTTGTTGGGTTTTTTTAAATAGGTTTTAAGGAATAACAATAGTACACGGTTTTGGCAGACTTTTGCAAACAAATGTGGAAGCCATTAGTTAATATTAAAGAATTTCTTATTGAAACAATGTTAAACAATCACTTGCACAGTAAAGCTTGCAGAGAAAAACAGAAATTCAACAAATAATTTTTAGGTTACAAAACGTTACAAGAAAGTAATCTCTAAAATTTACCATCAATATCTTGCTCAATGATATCTCTTTGCTTCTGGAATATCTCTCTTAAACTGACGTAAGTGAAACCGATATCTTCACATTCAAGATCCTGTTCATCTTCTGGGGGATCACTGACCACTGTAAATCGTAGGCTAAGCATAAAAGGGGGAAAAAAAAAAAAGAAAAAGAAAAAAGGATATTTTACCTTCAAAAAGGGTTGAAAATTAACTCAAAAACCAGAAAAAAAGGCAAAAAACCACACTCTATTTTACAAGTTAAGCATAAACTAGAATTGTTTATCAATTATATTCAACATTTTCCATGACAAGAATAGTCTGAGACCCTTTCTTTTAAATCTTCCCTCCTTCTTTAGCATTATTTAGCAATACTAGAAGGACAGAGAGGTTGTAACCACAGATCTGCAGGCTTATAGAATTGTTTCATTTTTCTGTCCCCTCCCCACCACCCTGTGGCACAGTTCTTGTTCATATGGCAGTGACAGGCAGAATAGTCTAAGGATTAAGGACTTTTTCACATTTGAAACTTGTACGTTTGTTTAGCTCAACTGCTGAATCAACTGTTCAAATCACTTAATTTCTTTATATTTACCCCCCATAGGTAAAAATCAAGATTGTATCTATGTACTTTGAGGCCTGTATAGCAAAACTTATTTATATAAAATATCTAAAAATATAGTTAGGGATTTCTTTGTAGTTTTTTTTTTTGGTTGGTTGGTTTGGGGTTTTTTTTTTGTTTGTTTGTTTGTTGACCATACCATGCAAATTATTTGATGTATAGAAATAAAAACAATTCATAAGCAAAAATGGAAGGTTTAGATTAAATGTAATTATGTTTTGTTGGTTAAAACCTTGTAATACCATAAACTTGTTAAAAATGTTCAACTACTTTAATTCAGTTCGGCCATATAAGATGAACCTGTATGATTATTTCAGCTTTGATGTGGAGCATGCTTATGAAGTAAAACTTTTCAGTTGTCCCCAGTTGTGGTCCTGTATTTGCATAATAGTCTTGGAGGACATTAATTGGATTTCTGGGCTAAATGAAACTGAAGATGTGCTCCAGGAGTACCTACCCCTAATGCAGTAATCCACTGCGATAGACATTCAGTCAGTAGGATCACAAGTTTTCTGAATTCTCCAAATCATCCTAAAAATCTGTGTATTGTGAATATCAGACCATTAGCAACAACTGCTTTGCACTAGAGAGTCTCTGGTCTGCACTACTTGATAATGTAGATCTAGTCTCAGTAAATTTTAAGCCATGCATTTTGTTGGCTTTACACTAAGTGGTGTGGGAGACATGAGATAAAGAATTGAGAAAGACAAACCATATCAAACGTTTTCCTGATATCAGAAATGCCAGCCATATTCAATGAAGCAAGCACTTCCAAACACCAAGTGTAAAATATTTCGCTGAAAGTTATGAAGAATTTTCACACCTCATTTAGATACTTGGAGAGCATATCCTAGCCAAGAACACATTCCACAAAAATAACAGGAACTTAAATGCAGTTCTCTCAAAATAGTATCTTTCTAATGTTGTCTTGTGTATCCATTATTTAAAGTTGGACCTTACACAGCAATTTGTCCTGCACTTGTTCCCTCTGACCAGTACCTCTCATATTTTATCTTCGTTATTCTGTTCCTGTCTTGCACATAAAAAACTACCCATGAGTACAGCCTGGATACAAAGGCCTTTGAGTATTTACTGGGCTGTCTAAACAGCCTGTTTGTCCATCCCAAACATCTAAGCTCATCAACTATACAAAATTTTTGCATTTCTTCTGTGAACTTAAATTACACTCATTACATCCAAGTATGGCTTTTCTTTTAAAACACATTAATTCCAGTATTGTGCTGGAGCTGACTTAAGTCGGTGGCTTGTGTTGGAGCCAAAAACGCCGAGACAGATAAAATGACAGGAATTCAGAGCTAACTACTTTTTTGGTATGCCTTGGCAATGTTATTTAAACTGTGAATGCTTGTGAGCTTTACAGCCGAAAAATGTTACAATAAGCATAATTACAAATGAATAACAATCAAGCTGCATAAAATCCAAGTCTACAGGAAAGGATATCCTAGACAAAATATAATCAAATCTTCCTAAAAGACTTTAAACATAACAACTGCAATATGCTTTTCTAATAGTTTATTTTTGTGCTTGGCTCTTACTAACAAATATTTATTATAGAAAATATATACATAAATATTTGTTTGTCACTAAAACCAGACAACTGTTGAAAATACCTGTCTTTAAAAAAATTTCTGGAGTCAGAGAAGGAAAAACATCACAGCTATTTCCAACAGCAGGTGTCTTGATTGAGTATAATGGATCTAACTTAAGATTTTGGTACAGAGCTAAGCAGCTGCAAAACTGCGAAAATTCAATCAAAAGAAAGAAATACTTAGATGTGTAAGATAAATATGAAATGAAATAAAAACAAATTAAAAATTGTAAGAATAACTGATAAAATTGCTGGGTATTGGGAACAGATCTGTTTTATGATTCAGTGTCAATGTTAAATCAAATCAATTGGACAAATCAGCGTAGCAGTTAAGACAGTTATAGAAGAGGAGGAGATTAGTGCTAGATTAATTTTTATCACTTAAGGGTACCAACTATTGCTAAAATTTTCACTAAAGCATAAACTAAAAGCAGGCCTAGTAGCATTTGGGACAGTACCTTATAGCCAAAGTGGAGAGTTGTTCATACTGGTCCACTTTCTGGTTCAGATCATATGCAAGTATTTTACATGAATACAGCAAGCTTCAACAAAACAGATCAAAAGAACTGCACCTCTAACACATTATAGTTCCAATATGCCTAAAAGATCATAATATTGGATTAAATCTTTGCTGCTAATCAGAAAGGAGATTTGAACTGTGGATCCCAGCAGAATATTTCAACTAGTAGACTGCAAGAATGGTACCACAATCACTTTAACTTCTATATTTTAAAAAAATATTACAAATGCTTTCAGTTTAGAAAATATTTAAATATGATATTCAGTATGCTTTAACTTGTTTTCTTCATTTGCCAAAAATTGCAAGAGTTTTGTTTTCAGGCTGAACTGGCTAAAAAGACAGTTTACAATGCCTTGGAACATGCTGCATGTGAACAGGCTTCTCACTCTGCTTCAGCACAGAATGCACAAATGTGCTGCTAGTGTCTCATCTTACCTTAACAGTGCCTCACTTATGTAAGAAGCTTTGATATATGTTGGAATATCAAATTCATACTAGGATTTCTTACATAAATAAAGCTATGTATAGTGTTTCTCTCCCATACTTCTCTCTAGGATCCTAGACTTTCTCTCTAGCTCATTTCCACATTTCTTTTCTGTAACACCAGGTATCAGTACTCACTTCCTTGCAGGAATCCCATGCCTGCTGACAGAATAAGATGAAATCTTGACATTCTGTTAAAAGTACTGTGTGGGAAGATATTTGCTAGCCAGTGCAAGAAAGACTAGAGAACTAAATGAAACTTGTCTGCTAATAAAGGGCCAAAAGAAAAGTAAAAAAACTGCCTTAAGCTTAAAATGTGCTTTACAATGAAGCAGAAAAACCTTGACAAATATTTATCGATGTTGTTATGATAACACTTAAAGGCGTTATCACCGGTAGGGAATTTAGAGTGCCTGAACAAAAGCTGTGATGTAGGTGAATTTGATTCTACTTCTTTATTCCAGAGATCAGTCATTTTTAAGCAGCAGGGAGAAAACCTGTGTGTTAATATAATATATTAATGTGAAGCTAACACTGTACACATCTCTATACTCCTATAACATGGATGCATAGATTCTGTTACTTTGGAGAACAATGACTTCATATAGTCAATTTCTTGGAGTAACAATCATTTCCTATCAAGAAATGACGCACCTGTCAGGATCAGCCTGGAAACCTCTTGCATAAACCTGTTCACTCTTGTTAGCACAGCAGGGTGACTGTTAGAAGAATGGATTCCTCCATTCTTCACATATGTCTCTTTTGACACTTGTCAGAAAAGCACATACTCTACCACCAGGACTGCAAGCATTGCAAGTACAATCTGACATGAGGAATATCAGGTAAGTTTCTCTGTATAGCCCAAATTTCTACGCTCTTAAAATGCTGAAAGGCAACAGTGGAATACAGACAGGATGAAGAATAAAAGATAACTATGACACAAATACAGTAAATTAAATGGACTGCCAGAAATGCTTCCTGTTATTAACCGACTTAAAGACTTGAACATCTAAGTAAATAACTATGGGGTTCAGATGATAAAATAAAACAATAATTTTGTATCCTTTGTTTTTTTGCAAAGTTTTACAAATACAAGTAAGTATAGCTTCCTAACATATATAAGGAATGTAATTTGAATCCCTATTATACAGACAAAGAAACAAAACAAAAAAGGTACCTATGTCATACAATACAGCTATAAGGAAAAGCAAGCGTTCTCACAAAATTTCCATATTAATGATAGAGATATTGTCTGTCTGAAAACGTAAAGACAAAGATGCTTGTCAAAAGAGAAGAACCATCTTCGTGGTATGCAACAATTACTAACCTAAAGAAGATTTAAAAAAGTCTGCCTAGTCTCCTACTACCTTATGCTCATAGATTTTATATCATTCTATTTAGCAGCATGTTTTCTTGATTTTCTTGAATACTGAATATTTTTGCATTTTCTGCCACTAAAGCCATTTATTCAAATGTGGAACAAAAAAAAATCAACATTTCTAATAAACACTTATAATGATTCCATTAAGAAATGAAATTGAAAGAGAAAAATCAACTTTGTTTTGAAATCTTATCTTTCATGAACAGTAAATCCCATTCCCAACAAATTTTAGATTGGATATTAGGAAAAATTTCTTCACCAAAAGGGCTGTCAAGCATTGGGACAGGCTGTCCAGGGAAGTGGTTGAGTCACCATCCCTGGAGGTATTTAAAAGACACGTAGATGTGGCACTTAGGGACATGGTTTAGTGGTGGACTTGGCAGTGTTAACAGTTGGACTAGATGATCTTAAAGTTCCTTTCCAACCTAAACAAATCTATGATTCAAACATACTTTCCCATACAAATGCCATGCCAATCTGTATTTATTTATTTGTAAGTATAAACTAAAACAGTATAAAGCTGTGAAATGCATTATTTTCAGGGCCAAGTTGGCTCCTGTTTCAACCATAGGATTAGATTATAGTTGCAACTTTGGCTTAGCAGTCATTTTATGTATTATATTAATATCTCTTTTAACACCTGAGAATATTTATCTTTTTCAAGGGGCTTTCATTAAAGTGACTCTCCTTTTGGAAGACAAAGATAGGACGTGATGTATCTATTTATTTATGTTCTAATATGGACCCAATCATTGAGTACCATTTCTAACAACATTTATTGTGACAGGAAGCAAGTTCACCTGAAAACTTAATGCACCACTTAATATATATAATATACTATCTATGCTCCTATAATCTGGCATAGCAGTAACACCAATAAAGTGTCAGGCTAAACCATGTGCAGGCAATTTTAAATTATATTTATATCCTTGATAATTTGGTTTCCTGAGCTTTAAAGCTTTAGTTTAGTTCAGTTCCTGTTTCAGCTAAAAAAGCTTTGATATTAGCTTGTAAGGCTTGTGATAGAAAACATGTGTTGAAGATGTAACTAGGCCAGGTTTAAAATGCATAGAGTTGAAAACATTTGGTGAATAGGCAGAATCTTTCCATAAATTTTGTTTCTTGGTGGTCGTCTCGCTAGGATAAAGTGAGGAACTGGACTACTGATGAACTTCCTGCCTTGCTATTTAGTCAATACAGAATTGAAATTTCACCACAGACAAAACTAGACACACTGATAAATGCAGAAAACAACCTACCTGGTCACACAGAGGACAGTACCATGATGGCACACATAAAAGACAAATGTTTCTGTTGTGGGAAAAAGCTTGCTGCTGTTATTTTACCTTGTTTTTACCTTAGGTTTGTTAAATATTTAGTACCTAAGTATTTGTAGGTTAAATTGCAGCCCACAGACTAGCTATTTTCTTTTGCTGAACTACCCCTCAGGAAAAAAAGTATATTTTGTCCTCAGTATTGTTAAATTCTTAGTAGAACATGTTACCCACTCTCCGAATCTATATGGTAATAAGCAAGCAGATGACTTATTTTAAGTGAAGACTTTTTTTTTTTTTTTTTTTTTTTTTAAAATCTCCAAACCTAAGAATGTTTTGGTATGATATTTCCATCCTAACAAGTAATCATTTAATGGTGTTCCCTGCTCCATTCCAGTGAAACTTGTTTTCTGACCAAGACATGAAACTCAGCTTTAGAAAGGAAATGGAATGAAGAGAGATCACTCTCTTTCTACAGAGTGAATCTGTGATTTGTGAATAAATATGTATTTAAAAGATTTTCAAGTAACTCCTACACTTCAAATACGATCAGCAAGTATTCTACTCTTCTGCAAATTAAATGGATCTTTAAATTAATAACTGTTCCACTTTAATGAATATTGACCTTCATGAGGAAACAGAATCAAAGGATGTCATTCATTCTTTCAAAGCAATGCACATGCTATCTCAATCAAAAAATCTGAACGAGAACAAACTTATTATTATGAGCTTGGACAAGATTAATTCATACTCTTTCTCCTATGTATTCATATAATAGCTGCCTGCTACATCAAAAAAAAAAAAAAAAAAAAAGTTTTTGGAAATTCTAGGGCCAAGGAACACTTCCGGAAGCTCTTGCACTCCTTTTAGTACTCTGAATTCAGAAAACAACAGATGTATTTCTCTACCATCAGGTAGATATGTGCTTTTCAAATTCATTATTGAAAGAATGCTGATGATAAAATCTCTCTTTTGCAAAATGAGGTTGTTAAAAAAAACAAAAACAAAACCAAAAACAACAAAACCAAAGCACAGCACTGAAACAACATTAAGAGAGGTTGCAATATTCCATGCCACACGAACCTACTCAGGGAAGAAATGTAGATCAATTGCCACATCAGAACATAGGTATCATTCCTAGCTGAAACAAAATCGTCTCTATTAGTTAGTTATGTACTAACTTCTCAGGGATACCTCCTCAATAGAGTCAAACAACAAGGCAAACTATAAGCATTATTTACAAAGACCTTTTACAGAGTTATTCAGCTCTAATACGTACCTGTCAGTATGTAGATCTGGCTTTAGAAGCATAGACTTGAGATACTCTCTTCTTGCATGATTATTTGCCTTATCCACATGTATCACTGCAAAGCAAATCGGAATTAATATAATTAGTTATCAATTATTTTTCATCTTTTAGAAGAAAGAGCATGAAAAAAAGAACAAAGAAAAATAACCATTTCTTTCCCTTGTCTTTCCTAAGGAAAAGCAACAATGTTAGAATCAAATTTGAAAGGTCATGTGATCTAATGGCGTGTCACTGGCAGGTTTATGTGCACACTGTCAAAAAAGATACAAGCAGCATCTAAGCATGCCACATAGCTGTCATTTTCTGTTAATGGCAATAGCAGTCATGATTTTAAAAGCCAGTGGTCTTTATTGCTTTGTATTTGAAGTGATTTACTGCATTTTCTTCCACTGAGGAAGCTAGTGATAATGATAATGTATGGCAGAGTGCTTGTCCTTTTTGACAGCCTTAGTAATTTAATCCCCCTTTCCTGCCACAATACTTCAATAAGAGAAACATCTAGACCAATGGACTGGACAAAATCCACAGCCTGGGGAGCGTGTGAATGCTCTGAAAGCCTTTTATTGTTTTAATTTAAAATACAAACACAAGGACCAGCTTTTAATTTTTGTACCATTAATATGACCTACAGTGAAAAATAGCCTTGGTTTGGAAAAAACAATAAAAGAATGAGAGACAGGGTTTTATGAAATTCTTTAAGAAGTTTTTGGGCATCTTATATTAAGAAAGTAGCTGCTTTCTTGCAAATGGTATCAGCCTACAAGTATCAGTAAACTACTGTGAAAGATTATAAAAATTCAGGATGCAAAAATTGAAAAACAGTGTTAAAAGATTACTCCCCTCCCTCTCCCCCCCCAGTTCAAAATGCAGCTGAAAAAATTTTGCTAGGACAGAACTAGAATTAACATAACCCTCTGAGAAACAAACATAGCTCTTCGGAACATTTTTCATTTGGTTTTGAGGGCAGGAGGAGGAGCTAGAAATTTGTCTTTAAATTCCAATATCTTTAATATTCACTCTCTTCTAGTTACTCTGCCACTGCACTCAAAAAAGCTCTTTTTCACTCTCCACATCACAATAAGGTTTCCTTTTCCTACATGCTGACAGAAATCTTTAACATATTTCATACTGCCTTCTACTAATCAAAATAAACTTATTTGTATAAACAGAAATTACCAATTCTACCAAGGAGCAGAGAGCACTGGAATACAGGAGTAAAAAAATAGAGATAAGAAGGCTCAAATTAATTCCTTGTGGAGGGATTTATTGAGGGACATATCTCTAGAAAAGTCCTTCTAGGAAGCACACCTTCCAGAGCTACTGGTTCTCCAGTTTTCTCCAAAGCTGCTCCTTGGCTCTTAACTGGCCGGCAGAATCGCTATTAGAAACAAGTTACTTTCAGGAAACAGACAGTACAATTAGTATCTGAATCATTCAAAGGAATCTGCAATTTAACACCTTTTTATCTACTAAGAGAAAGCAAAGCATTGGTGCTTTATCTTGGAATCCTTAGTTTCCACCCACAATATTCTTACTCTCTTAGACAGGTTAAAGAAGCTGTTACTGCCATCTGCTATTCTTTTGGGCATGTGGATGACTTTCCACATATGCTACTCTCATGGCCAAGTGCTCCTGGGGCCACCACAGGAAGTGATGGGAAGGCAGCAGGGAGACAGATGGACAGCCAAAGAACTTCAAAGGAGCTGCCACATCAACAGATTCTTCCCTTTCCCATAAGCATCCCAAATGGAATTTCCTAAGTTTACTAATTCTGTATCTAAAAGAATTTTAAATGGAAATTATTTACAAACCTAAAGAGTTCAAATTCATTTCACCCAATGGAAAAATTCAGACTAGCAAGTAAAGCATGCAGCACAAGAACGCCATTCAAGTCTGGGGAAAAGGATTAACCATAGTGAAAAAATATTTTTAGATCCTGATGAAAAACATGTTTCATATCACCCCTTAGTACTACCTGAACTTAGAATTATAACATTGCTCCCAGGCATGGAAAATCTCATATTTTCATCCAATTAACTGCAAAAATCACTCAAAATTAACTTGTGACAGTTTGCATCTAAAATGATAATTTTAAAGTTTTTTCCTAAAGAAGCACTAAAACCTGAAGATTACAATGAACCTGGAACCTCATTAAAAATCACTGGAATTCCAAACATTAACTTAGCTGGTTCTGTTAGAGCATATTTTTTTCATAGTTCACTTTCTAAGAACACTAAATGACTACATGCTGAAGTAGAGTTTCATCACGATGATGAAGAAAAGATGCCTCACAGTGTGGAGCTATAATGGAGAAAAGAAATAAACACAAAAAAGTGTAACTGTTTTCTGATGCAAGGCCTTAACATGTTCATTTGAGTTATACTGAGGAATCCACCTTTTAGAATATGGATCTTCAGAAGTTTGTTTTTAATAAACTCCATCATCTTTCCCCCACCTCCCCTTCCTTTGGTCTACTTACACTTGTACTTCAAGCTGTTCAAATAACCACTTACTCACTCAAGAAAGCTTTCTGATTAAATATCATGTAAAATCTTTGCAAAATTTTATAAATCTTTCTTCTACTTCTGCTGCCTGTTCTCTAGAACCATTGTATACAGTGATAAGGACACATTTCAGACCTTCTGTCAGTCTTAATTTCTAGTAACTTTCTTGCCATCTCAACATTTTCATAGTTAAGTCTTCATATTTAATAAAATATGAATGCTTTTTGTTAACAACATTCATGAACTAACCTTAGCTTCGTAATTCAAGTAATTGTGGCCTTGACAAGAAAAAAAATCTTTATTTTACTCAAATTAAGATGCATTTATATGTGAGGGAGACTGAGCTTTGTTTGCCTGTAACAACATGTTTCCCTATGTTTTTCTGACAGTGAAACTGCCATTATGTTCACTTTAAAGCATATATTGTGACATGACTAGAAATAAATACATAATTATAAGTAAATAATGTCTGGCACACAATTTTAAACTGCATTAAAAAGTTAAACTATTAATTCATTGTGTACTAAAATCTGTAACACACCCTAACATCAAAACCAAACCATACCGAAATGAACTCCATCAAAAAAAGCAGAGTCATGGTGTGAGCACGATTTGGCAAGTTCCACTTTTCTTTGAATTTATGGGACTGTAGTGTTTAGAAGCATTCTAATAACTCTTTCCACCACTAACGAACACAACAGCTCCTCTCCTTGGTCAGTATGGCCATCGGTAGATATAACACTTAATGTCATGGGAAATGAAGAGTTATGTGGTATAACCCTGGAGTGTGTAAACCTCCCATTCAAGTTTCTGTTCCAAGACCTTGGAAGAAAGAAAATGACCTTCTAACCATTCCCGGTCCAAAAGTCATAGTCAAAATAAACAGTTAATGTCAAGTTAAATGCTAACCACTTGTGAAAAGGGAAATTCATAGGATCTTGTATGTCCAGATCAATGGAGTTCTACTATGTTGTTTTTCAACAAGATTACATTAATCTTCTGCTATCTTACATGTCAAGCAATGACAGCGAAGGATGTGCAAAAGGTATGGAAAAACTTCAAATGTTTTTTAAGCAATGAATCTCATGGAGCCTTCTGCATCAGTTAAGATGTTCTTAAAACAGTAAAGCTGTTCCAGTTATAAATAATATTAAATGTTTTATTTATAATTTTAGATTACTTATGGACTTACCCTGATTTTCTCCATGCAAAAATCTAGAATACTGTTAGTTTCCTTCTAAGCTCAATGTAAACTTCTTTCTACCCATGCAAATCTCATTTTTATTAAAGAAAATACTCAATTAACCTCAAATACTCAACATACTCAAATCTAATTAGACACGAATAAGAGATGCAGTAAAGCTATAGTAAACACACATGAAGATTTCATTATTATTATCTTACTAGCTTTCCAACTGACATTATCAGAAAGCAGACTCATTAGGGTTTTTTTTCCTCCTACCTGCAAAGCTAATCTTAAACAGAAATTAGATGACCAATTACCTAAGTAAATTCTGCAGATAACAACCACATTAGTATTTTGCTGCAGAATACAGTCCTAAAGCAATTAAGACCAAAACCACCTTTTGATACTGATTCGATAGGATATTTTAAAGTTTAACAGTTCTATATTTGATACTTAAGCAGCAAATAGAAAAATCTAAGTTATGAAGCCAGGTTTTGACTAGCAGAAATAATCTGATACAGCACTACCAGATTGGAAAGCCTTATGAATTACAGTCTCTACGAAGCACGATACTATTTTTAAATATCACAGCTTGAAAATATATTTAAATTTCATAATTGTCTTCAGAGTCTGAAATTTCATTCTGTATTCATCATAACTTTGCTGTGTTTTGCTAGTTTAACTTTGCAGAGTCAATACTTAAAAAACTAGTATTATGTTTAGACCGTATCCAATATACACAGGAATCAGAATATTGTGTAAGAATTTTTACACCTTCTGAATGCTTCTTATATTCAAAGCAATGAGAATTCAAGAAGCAAGAGAAATTAGAAGTGTTAAAGAGCTTTTATTGGCTTACGGTACTATTTCAATGAAGTTTTAAAAAATCTATTTCAATTATGTCTGCCTATCTAGAACATTTGGAAAAGTGTTTACAGCAGCTAGAAGGATGTATATTGTTCAGCTCATAAAAAGAGTTCTTACTTATCCGATGTCTCATTTAATGTACGATGACAGAAATCCCATTTGTTTGAATGGAAGTAAGCCTCAGTGAATGAAACAGTTTGCAGTGCTATTAGTTTTTTGCGGTTTTGTTTTGTTTTTTTTAACTAAAGCCTTACAAAGATTACTCTTTCTCAGAGTCACAGAAGCTAACACATTGTGCCATGTCTTCTATATTCTCTCTCAAATGGGCAGTCCCGCTATAGTGATGGATGATGTGACATCTACAAGGGATTTCAGTCTCCAACTATGGGGTAATCCAATAGTTTGAGTATTATGAGGATATAAATGAGTAAATTCTGTGGCAAGTCTCTTAAAATCAGGTTTCTAGATGGCAGCAATTTTAAAGATCTGTGACACCACTTTTCCAAAGCCACTTTCACAAAATTATTTTTAAAAGAATGCTTAATTTGAATGTCTGTATTGATGGTGTGTCACAAAGAGCAAACTGATTCACCTGCTCCAGGATACTCACAGCTAAAGTCCAAGACAACATGAAGCACTCAGACTGAAACTTAAATGAAATAAGACTAACAACAACAAAAAAAGTTAATGAAAAATTGAAATACTATGAAGTAGCTGGGAAAATAGTTAACAAGAGAATTACCAATTATTACAATAGTTCTATGTATGCTATTAGTGTAAATTACACTGTGTATTGACATAAAGTATTTTCAAATGTTCATTTATTAGAGAATAGCATATGAAAAATGCAGGATTAAGTATTATGAAGTAAATAGCAATGTATTAGTATTAAACATGGCTGAATAATTTCCTATTTCAAAAAGTTCTTATTAAAGGAACACTGAGTATTCCCAAGTGATGATCAAGTCCAATTACGTTTTCTCTTTTCAACTGCATTTTAGTTGTACATGGTTACATGGAATGTTTTTCTTTCGCTATATCATCATGTACTGATACAGAAATCAGTTCATCATGTTCTTTTAAAAAGAATGCATAAATTTTGGTTATGTATAGCCTAATTTGAAAATTTATGCGCTAGCAGCATATTTAAATATATTGTAAAGTTATCATTTCATACACAAGCCTACTTCAATAATTCATTTTATACTTGATAATTTCATCCTTATCTCATTTCTTAAAAACCACCTTTAATATTTCCCAAGATACTTGAGAAATAGACAAATACAATTAGTACACAGATAAAAGCAACTATAATATATAGAGGAAGTAGACTTTATTGGCAGGCATTTTCATAAGACAGAATTTAAAAGAAGAAACAAGCCTGCTCACGAATACATTGTACTCACCATTGCTATAGTTATAGTGAATCCTCTGACCACTTGTTGGTTTTGGAAGTGACAGTGGGGTCTCCTCTGCAAGGAAATTGTATAATCTGCATTCTACAAACAGCTGCTGTATTGTTTCATCTGATGCAATTCGTGACTCAGTAAGACTGAGCGATATAATTTCAATCCGAATTTTTTCAGTTGCCTATTTAAAAACAAAGCACAAACATAATACAAATTATTTTGTGTTTCTTGAAGTTTCAACACAAATATGTAAATGATTGGCTATTTTGTATGATTAACACCAATTGATTGATGTTGACATAGACACAATGAGATTCCAAAGTCCCAGGGTTTGTAGTTAAGAATATTGTTGCAACAGATACTGCTTTACATTCGGTGTTGAAAATATTTTTGCAACAGTCATACTCTGCTGGAGAAGATTAGGTTAAGGTTATCTTCATGTACAAATGATATCTGAACTGTAAATTTCAGTTGCCATTATTTTTAGCTACACAGCAAAGCCATTTGTATCTTGATCCTGTAACTGCTTGAAATAGTCTCAGTAATATTAGGTACCAAAGTTTTCCAAATGAAAGAGAATTATTACTCAGTGCCTACTGCAGACTATACTACAAATAGTTCAATAAAAATCCATCAAGTCACAAAGTAGTTAGGCATGTAAAGTAACACTGTATTTGTATGGAATTCAACTTTATATACTGAAATTTTCTAGTTAAAAGTTAAAATTAACAATATCATAATAAAAGTAATATCCCAATTGTTCTTTGCCAGAGCCTTTTCTTCTTATCTTTCACTAAAATGGCATTTTTCTGTTGCTTATATGAAATTGTTTCATACTGTTTGGCAAAGTCTATATTATTTGCGTACAGATAAATTTTAATAAGCTTTATGTATTTAAGTGGGAATGTCAGACTCGACAGAAATATTTCCCTAGGTAACTCTGTAATTCAAAGAAAGAAAAGCCAGTATGGTTTCAAAATTGGAGTACCTAGGTGAGCATTCAAAGATGAGATTCTTCAAAGAGCAAACAGAACACACTGGAGTTCAGAAATGTCAAAAAAATTTTTTTTACTTCTTTCTTTTCAAGTTCATAACTCTATTAAAAATATTTCCCTATATGGAAATATTTTGACAATTTTTGATTGTAAAGTTAAATCACTTGAAGTAATAAATTATATTCAAAAGATTAGCCTTCTGGATTCAGTGTTAGAACTTCAAGTCAATATTCTAATTTATTATGGAGATAGCTTATATTTTTCCAAACAAATTATATAATTAATCAAACTGAAAAGCAGGTGTGTCCTATTGTAAAAATACCCATCATAGAGAACAATTTCCATTGCTGTCAAGCCTTTTCAATATTTGATGAAGTAATTTTACCCACTCCTTTCAAAAGACATTTCCTTTTATTATGTATCCTAAGACACTTTAACTAAAAACCCAAATCTGAATATTTCAATAAGGTTGTTTTATTATTCAGTAGATTCATGGAAATTTTACTAGGATGACAGAGAAAATTCCACACCATTCTGTCTCCACTAATACAGGTACACGGCTTCAGCTGGCAATATTACTGGGATTAGCATAGAATGATGAAATATTTAAAGGAAATTTTTTTTTCTAAAATCTAATAAATCAAATGACTGCCAAGTGTCATTAAAGTGATGGTCTTTGACTTGAATATGCTTTTCATATTCAAATTTGAAAAGAAAGAGATGAAAGCCTGGAAAGGTTACTCAGTTTCAACTAATAACCTCAAGCACTCTACATTCACATGCATAAAAAATGAAATTGGCTCTATTGTCTAATTTTACTTCAGAAACAACTCTTTTCTTCTTGCACTGAACAGATGTATTAGCATCTGTATTTAAAGTGATATGCTGAGTGGTTTTGTTCGTCCCAAAGTATTTAGCAGCTATGTCAGACTAGTTTGTACACAGACAGTAGTTTATGATTCAAGTCCAAAAACAATATCCTGTATTATAAAGTATTCCTTTTACATATCTTAAAATTTGTTTGACATATTTAACACCTGTAATTGCATACTGTAGGCAAAGAATATTAGTTTTTCAAGGATAGCAGGGTAAATCCAGGTATTCTGCTTTCTAACTTATAAGGAAGCAAATAACTGAGTCATACTATTAGAAAACTGTAAGAAAAAATAATAAATTGTTTTACAGCTTAACAGTCAAGAATATTTTAATACCTGGTTTTATTAATATTAAACATGAATATAGCATATACAAAGGAGAACACAAACTGATTAAAGATATTTACAAATAAAAAATATAGAACTGCTTAAGAACATCATAGCTAGCATGTCATATTTCACCAATAATACAAAACCGCTCATATAATGTAGCCATGCTGAAAATATATGTAGCATCCAATGTACGATAGGAATTAATTTTTAAACAACTATTTATATGTCTACAATGCAGAGCGATGTATGTTATTTAAACCTTTTCCTAAGTTGTTTTTTTTTTAAGCCTTGGTCTCATTTATTAGGCACTATTCAAGTGAAAAATGGATAGTTTGTCATGACCAATTACTTCCCACAAATCATTCTACTTTGATGGGAATAAAATTAGTCTTTAAATTTAGTATTTAAAACAAAATATAATATGAAATTTCCTCTAACAGAGAGACTGGACACATGTATTAAAAAGAGAATACTAAATGCTTTCAAAGACTGTCTCTGGGAAACGGGTTCAGTGCTTTCATTTCAAGTGAGGAAAACAAAACATGGGCATGATACTTAGTCTATGTCAATATTCTGTCTTTACCATTTAATATTTAATATTGACTCTTTGAAATTAACACTACCCAGAGATTTGGAAGAATTATTGAACTCCTTCACAAGCTTTAGGATTAGGTTAAGTAAATGCATTGGACTTTACATCAGAATTTGAAGTCTCAACATAACTTTTATCATCTTTTTGATTTCTGAGATTAAAAAAAGCTTTTTTTAATTCCACAAAAAGTCCTCCATCTTCAAGAAGCTGTATATTCCATATTTCAATTTCCTTTTTGGTCACAATAAAATGCTAAGACTTTCATGTGAATAATAAAATTCCAGTTGACTCAAATGGTCCACGATAGTATCCCACAGAATTAGTGTTTTACAGAAAAAAGAGTTTGTGCTTTCTGCACACAACAGCAGCATTGAAAATGCCTTACTTCTAGGAACAATGTAAACAATGTTACTACTTTTTACATCCATGGTTTTAACTAATATATTGCTCTTGAAAAACTCCAAAAAAAGGAAACTTCTTAACTGTAAGATCAACTTGAATCCTATCTTTACCAATGCTCAAAAATATTCATGCTTTACTACTTAAGATTTTACGTATTTATTTCCACAGTCCACTTATTCCCTTCTATTTCAGGCAGAGAGCACATCAGATAAGCTATAAGCTATTGTCCAATAATCACAAGTAATCATCCATTTGCTATCAATACTTCAATCACTATCAATATCACTTGATTGACAAATACATTTATTGAATGAGAAATCATCCTCTTCTCTATCAGGTGCCAAATTCCTGTGATCATCCTATTAACAATGTCAGAACAGAGCTGCAAAGGGATGCTATCACAGGAATGTCAATCTAATTTAACTGTTCAGAGACACAAACATTACTCATTAAGTAATTATGATTAACAGGTCAACATCTTACATATACACATAAAAATGCATTACAAAAAATTATTCTAGTCCTTAACTGTATGCAGTGACTTTTCGTGTCAGGAACAACATCTTCTATTTTTAGGTTTTCCCCACAATGGTGTAGATGTGAGCATAGAAAGAGTGATAGGGAAATGCTCCCTGTTCCTTCTCGGAAGGGCTGGGACTCACAAAAGTGCATGCATTTTAGATTCTCCCTAAGACTTGGGGCAAAGAGATTTGTCTTTGTTCAACAGCTTTTTTGGAGTCAGATTTACATTGAGGAAGGGAAAGGCACATAGAATCTTCCCCCAGCATCAGTGGTTTTTGTCATGTGCTGGGAGGAAAATGCAATGGCACAAGGTTAGCACCATAATAAGGTTCAACGCAATCCCTTCAGCTCTGTCTAGAATTAAGAACACAGTAAACAAAAAATTGATTTGTGACAATGAGTACATCTCTGGTTGCTGCCGTTTTATCTAGTGCAGAGTCCAAATTCATCATTTTCAGAGCATGAATTCATCTTTAATGTCTTCAAAGGCATGAATAACTTGCTACAGCTTGAGACAATTCAATGATTAGATATTGCCTCTTCTATGCAAATCTGTAATATATTCATCAATACGTTGATTTTTTTTCAGAAAAGACAATTTCTAATTCAGTATAAAACATCAAACATTTTAGAAAATACTAAGTTCTTGAGGGATGTGAAGCTTTCCCACCACAACCATGACAACTATACACCTGAACTTAAGTGACATTTGCTCTTTGCTCATAATACAACTTTTGATTTCTTGAATAATATACTTTCTTCCCTTCAAATGGCTTGCCTCCACCACTCTTTCTGAAGAATAAACAAAAAATTGTTCAGTGTTTCTCCTGAAGTTGAATTGTTTTTAAAGATTTGGTTTTGTAACTTGCCTGTGGCACCACCTCAACTAATAGCTTTTAAAGATAAACTGTTTCTAGGGATCAATAAATACAAAAAAGCAGATATAACTGGAGCTGTTTGACTGGCAAGATACAAACTTCCTTAACTCCGAGTTGTATTTTCTCCCCAAGAAGTGGGGAAGGCTACATAAACAATATTGTTACAGTCCTGAACTAAGCTACACCCCTCTCTACAGCAGACTATTTCAAAGGAAGACTTCATTTTTTTTATTGTTTGAACACTCACCATTGATCATAGCACCAGATAAAATAAAAAGCAAATACCAACTTCATCAAATCTCAAAGTCAGTTAGCTACATCAGTACCAACTAGTCACACAATTAAGTAATTCAAATGTTCTGTAAACTTACAATTACCTTTCATTTCAAAAGGCAGCATGATCCTTAAGTAAATAAGCATGAAAGACAGAAAATTTCTTAATAAAACGAGGTCTTACTCTTGACATTTTTGGTATGCTAATACACATCAACATTTAAGATACAGAAATAAGATGAAATAAGTAGCAGTATTATGCAAAAAACTAAACAAAGATAAATATAATAGGTTTTCTGCTTTTATATATATCTATGCATGTATTTTTCTAGATGTAGATCACAGACTTCTGGTTTGATTTAAAAATGAAATAAATTTTAAAAATCTGTATTTGAAAGTTAATCCATTTAGAACCCCCCCCCCTTAATATAGGAAGAAAGCAGAAGTATCTGCATAGCCTTTTCATTTGTTAAGAGTGCATCTGTAATAAAAAAAAATAAAATCAAATTGCACATTTTAAATACAGCTGTTCTTTTTATTTAGAGCTTTAATACTTAACATTTGATACTGTCGTTCCCCACCTTGCTGCCGTTACAGTATTGTGTGGGGACAGTATAAACATGCAAAAATGACTGAAATTTGGTTCTCTCTCATATTACCCACAGCGTAAAAAAAATTATGCTTGGTGATATATATCACAGCTAATCAATACTCAAATTTATTTTCAAATACCATCCTTTGCTTTTTAGACCTCCAGTTGGAAGAATACTCCTTTCTACTTGTAAAGTCACCATAACTTACTGCCGTGTCAATAAGCTCTGATAAATACAGTCTTTCAAGTAAGCAACTAAGGAGCATTCATATTCATAACTACAAAAAATATTACCAGCTAGGTTAAAAATGGCTCCTGTTGATGCTTTTCCTGTGGGCTTATACACTCAGCCTTAAATCTGACTTTCTACTTAACTTAATATTCTGACTAATTAGTTTTATTTGTTACCTAAAAAGTAATGGGTTACCTAATGACTTAAGATTCTGTTGGTTTTGGATCATTTTAAAAGCTGGTGTTTGGGTTTTTTTTGGTATTATTTCTCCCTCTTCTTTCAGTTCTTCCATCAAGAAGAATGACTTGTAGTACATGCTTCTAATTATTACTTCAAAGTATATTTGACAAGCACTAGAAGTTGTAAATCCATCATTTCAGCATACTGCCTATTCAAGTTGCTATCATCTCAAACTTTATCAGTGGCAAGAGACAAAACGTAGGTCTTTCCTGGATTCTTCAAACTTTCTCTCTTTTACTTTAGTTCCTGTCTAATACTGACCATAATAGCAAACAATCACCTTAAAGATGGAGAATGGCAAATGCTCCTTTTAAATCTTAGATCCATCAGTAGTCTTTGAAAATACTGGCTACAAAGCTCTAGTAAGTTACCTTTATCTTACTCTGATAAGATAGTTCTGTTTCATAAATTTTATTTCTTTTTTTAATTAAATATGCTGGTGCAGCACTTTTATTTCTCCATTTTCTTATAGAAGAAAAGTACTAAGCAACTAAATTTAGATCTAGACAAGACTAAGAGAATACAAAGGATTAGTATTTCTGGCACAGTAGCATCAAGCCAACTTAGCAACACAGGGTAATACTAAAAACCTAAAATTTTAGTTCTCTAAATTTGGATTAGATATTCACAGAACAAGGCAGTTTAAGAAAAGCATTGAGCACTCAGAAATCTCCCTACAGTACACCAAAGGTACTCAAGTCCTGCAGAAAACAAATGTAAAGAAAAATCAAGACAGCCAAAATTTAAAATTGCAATAATGTCCAAATAATTTTCTTTCTTTCAATGAATGCAGATATCTCATAGGAGGAAATGCACTATTGAAATAATTGTACAAAAAAGGCACAATAAAAGGAAAAGTATTTATTGCTTTGCTATACATAAACTTTATGCTTTACACCTTCCCCACCTTTGCCCAAACATGTTTCATTGACCAGCAGAACCACAAGCAATTGGTATTGCCTTTTTAATGGTGTTTGAGAGATTTTCATGTCAAAATTAATTAGACCCTGAGATGTTAATTTACAGGAACTGATAATGACAGTTTTCAATAAACTGCTATTAGCGCAAGATAATGCACTCACAGTATCTGCAACAAAAAAAGAGACCAACACCACAGAACACACCAACAGAAAAAAACAAGACCACCACCAAATAACTAATTTTTGCCACTAATTGTCTTATGGGCACATTTTAAGACAACTTGGAAGCTGACAGTAGGAAATTTTATTGTGATAATTGAATGCTATATCATATCCTGTAAGGATAAAGTGTAGACATGGGTGTGAAAGGGAGGAGGGGACGGAAGAGAAAAGATTTTTTTTTTTTAGATTTTTTTTTTAAATATAAAGACCATGCCAAAGAAAATGCAAATTCCCAGTTTTGATGTCTATTTTGAGGATCTGAAACAAGGCTTTTAATCAATGTATTATACATCAAATTGATAATGTTAACTTCTGATTATTCAAATGTATGAAATATTCATAGAGAACTGTCCAAACTTTTACATTTCTCAGAGTTCTTTTCTCTATTAATTATCATGCCTGGAAGCTTTTTAGTAAAAGCAGCAGCCATCAGCCTGACTGAACCTGACAAGCTAGCAAGGCCCAATTACACTGGCACTCTGTGGCACTTTGATGTACTGGAAGCGAAAAGAGATAGGGGCAAATTGTATAGCACATTATGTTAATGACTTGATTTAATCCAGCCACTAAACTTTATGTAGCCTGTTAAAAAAGATGCTAACACTAATTACGCCACTTTGGAAAGGAAAGAAGGGGACAAGCATTTCATACCGACAAAGTGAAGCTCATAAATGTTGTAAATGAAATGAAACAAAATGAAGTAATCTATGATTAATTATACATCATAGACAAGAAGAAAAGAGAAAGAAGCAAGTGGTACAGCTAAGTACTGGAAAATCTGTTAGATACCCTTTAAGATCAACATATCTAAGAAATAACCATGAACTGTCTAATTTGCAACATGCAAAAAAGAAACAGTGTGATCTTAAATGGCTTAAACAGTTTGGCATACAACTCAGATTTATACGATAATTAGCATAACGATCTCTAAAAATCACAAGTTTTATTTACAGTGTTTGATTACCAGCAGGTTATTTATCTCAAAAGATAAAAGGCACTGATTCTTAATCTTAAAAAAAATACAAATTCAATAATGATTTTCACATGCTGTATTCTATAATTACCCCAAGATTTCAAATATACCAATGCCTAGTTTTAAAATGCAATTTGTATCAAACATGTTGCCTTAATAGTTTAGAGCTTTTGTTGTCTTATCTACCCTTCCGGAACACGCATTTTGTTACCAGATGAACAGATCAATGGAGAGAGGTACAAATTAATGAACCTGAAATGCATCTACACTCAAAATCCTCTCAGAAGTGTTCTCAAATAATTTTGATAAAATAAGATACAGGATGACTAGAAATGTATAGATCAACTGTATTATAGTTTGACTTAATGGTGATGAGTAGCAGTCATTTCAAGTTCTCAAAATTACAGGTGAAAAATTTTAACATTTTACATATAAACAATACAATTCTGTCTTCAAAGGTACCTTCTGTATCTTTCTGCAGCATATGTAAGTGATAGTATTTCTAAATGCCTTCTACAACTTAAAAAAAAAAAGGAGCAGTATTTCTCATATGAAGCATTGCTTCTTGTTGCTAGTTAACTTTGTAATATGTCACACAGCCTTGAAAAAAGGATTACAATAAAAATCATCAAACTAACTCTAGGTTATTACATTGCAGAACATTAAAAAAAATTAAGACTGATAGGATATGAAAGTACGCCCCTGGTCCCTTAAAAGAAGGCTAAGACAGACCAGAGAAGTATTAACTGTTAGAAGCATTATAATAAATTTTAAGTGCTAGTTTTATATTTTTTAAGACTGTTCATTCAATGTTAGATCTAAAAGCATGAAATATTTTTTTTTTTAGAGAACTATACCATTGAAATACTGTTTAAAGTAGATTTTCCAAATTTGTATATGCTGTGTTATTTTGTATATATGACTTTAAGCTCATTAATTGCTGGTTTTAAGAACAAATCAAGATAATATCATTACTGTACATGGCCACAAATAATAATAGAAAAAGAAGTACATTGAAGTGATTGGATAGTGTACATGTTCAGTTCTAAAAACTGTTGGAAAGTCAGGAACAAAAAGAAATCTGTGTGGATGAACTAGAAAATATATGCAAGGTTTGCATGTTATTAACATGCTAGTACCTCAAGCTTATGCAATTGCCATTTCAACAACATTCAATCAAGTCAACATACTGGGATGAAACACAATGGGTAGCTAAGCATTGTGGTTTTACTACAGGCCTTGACAAGTGAAATTATCCTCCCCTTCCTCAGAAATCACTAGAAGAAGCAGAAAAGCACATTTTCCTACATAAAGGCAACAGGTAGGACTGAACAAGACGACTAAGTTCTTTAGACATCATGTTGCAATAGTTATCTTTCGTTAGGGAGATTTTGTGCAGGACTAAACTTCGGATTCAGATTGAAACTAATTAGAAATGTCTAATTCTAAGTGTGTATGACAATAATGGAGAAGATGACAACAAATTCCCCCATTAAAAATACACCTATAAATCACATGCACAATAGGGTCAGGTTAACTTTTTTTTCTGTGAAAAGTGTCTATTTGAACTGGAAAGAGGAAAACATACATTCGTTGAAAATACCTTAGAATCTGACCTTAGATATAGTAAAGCTACTCTTAGAGGACATTAGGCTTAAAATATTTTTCTTAGACTTACCAAATAATTGCCATAAATACTCTGACTCACCTGTTTAATATTCTTGCATACTGGGCTTGAAACAATACAGTCATCACTGTCAGTTACTATTGATTCAATGGAATCATCTTCTTGCCTATCATCTTGATCTGGGGGAAAAGAAAAAAAAAAAAAGAAATCATTGTAGTTAAAAATCCCTATATTTGTAGTCCATCTGAGACTTGCTGAGAAACCTGATAGCAATATATTTGCTTTTCTAATAAATAAAGTGTAAGTACCAGGTAAACCTTCTCTTTGCAGAAGATTAACATTGGCAAATCAATGACCTTTAAAGTCATCTAAATTGTATTTTTTTCCAATTTGCTAAAAAAATAGTAATGTTTCCCAGATGAAAGTTGACGAGTGGAATGATGTAAGTCCTGTGATGAACTGAAGTATGAACAACAGTTACGTTTGCATAAGAATATGGCCTGAATTTGTGGATTTCCTCTGACTACGTTTAACACCATGTACATTTAAAGAAGAATGTACTTTTTTTTCTTTTTTTGGTAAAAATTAGTTCTGTATGCAGGTGGATTATTTTCTAAAGCATTCAGGTCTTTTTTCTCTAGAGCAATTTACTTAAAAACACAACAGGGATTCAACATCATGTTTTTCCAGTTTTTCTAATTAATTCTTATGCAGAAGCTGCAAACAACTGAACATAAAATTTTAGCATCCTGCTTGTGCTTTTACTTTAAACTTGGTATCATGGACTTGGTTTATTTCAATGATAAACAGTTCAAGCTTGGAGGTGGAACAGGATGACCCAGCTTTTATAATCTTTAAATAAATCTGCCTCTAACAACTTTATGTCACAGATGTGATAAGGCATACTACCCCTCTCCCTGTCTGAAAGGATTTCCGATATCAGCACTGGCTGTTATCTGCAGACAAAAGGAGCGTATTCATTAAAATAGTCTTTAGAACAGCATAGTTCTGAGGGAGAATATAAAGACATTTAAAATAGAAGCCAGGTTTCCTTTAATATTTTATGAATCTAGGTCAGATACCAGATTTTTGCATTCAATTACAATACAGTTTCCATTTGGGAAGAAAATAACACCACCATTTCTACCACCCAGCTTCAGCTATAAAGTACACCAGAATATCATTTCTGTCATGAAGCTTCTCATAATGAGGCAGCTCCCACTGCTAGTAAGAAATGCTTAAGAAAATGGAAAGAGACATAGGTTTATTAAGAAAATACAGTTACTTATTCATAAAAATGAATTCTACCTTCTGGTTCCAATTCTTCAGTAATTTCTGTCTCATCTCCAGAGGTAACTGAGCTTTGGTCAGCCAACTGCCCCTCTGACAGATGTGAGAGGTCTTCTTTTTCCTGTTGAATTTCTTCAGCCATCTGCTTCACCTCATCATCTGCTAGCCTTTCTTGTTTAAATTCATGTACCACAGGCTATATAAAAATAGATAAACTTACAGTCTTTATAACACTCCTTGAATAGTAAAAGTTAATAATGTTCAAAACTTGAAGAGTTATGGCTCACATTCATTATGCATAGCCTTTAAACAATTATATTGCTTATGCAGTGCAGGAAACAATGAGAAGTTGTCAACTGCAGTAACAAATAATTGATACAGTAGAAAGACAATTCTCTAATGATATGTATTTGTGAAAATGTAAGTATTATAATAATTTGGTACCTGTCAACATATATACAGCCTGTTAGATTTCCATTTATATTTCACCTCTTTCAGTTCTACAAGACTCAGCTTAAAAAAAAACAAACAAAACAAACCACCACCACTTTACTCAGTTGGCAATTTTATAACTTAAATTATACAATATTTTCTGTTTCAAAAGCAAACTAAAATCACATAAAAGAGAATAGGCTTTGCTACAAAATACAAGCATGTTATCTAAGGTAAAATATCTTCAGTGCATAACTTTGAAGTAATCTTATTCCCTTCTTTCTCTTTGAGTACAATTACACGGAGTAATACCTCATCAATGAATATAACATTACAGACATGGCATCTTCCATGGAAACTTGCTGGAGACCTATGCATTATTTATTATCCAACAATTCTCCTCTAGGACTGAATTTTCCAGAGAGGCACTAATGCCTCATCTCCCACCCTCAGAAACCATGAGGTAACTTTCAGCTGTCCACAGAACATCTGGGTTTTCCAAAACTGGACCTGAAGAGTTATTTCTAACACATTTGGAGCCACACAAAACAAAGCAATGTTAACAAACAATTAAGAGCCTTATTCTACAAATAAAGGTTATCCTTCAAGTTTTCGAGTCACAGAAAACTGACTTTATGTCTCTTATGCTCCTCTGTGGCATAGATGATGTCATAACCACTGTGTTTTAGACAATGTTGGACCATTCTTCTTAATTCCTTCAGTGACAGAGTTGCGCTTTGTGGATAAAATTTTCAGAGAGAGAATACTTTTTCATTATTCTACTTGACCAACACCACCTGTGATGGAAGTGAGACTTAACTTCTCAATCAAAGCCCCAGATAAGCTTTAAAGTAGAAAAGTGAAAGGAAGATAAGAGCCAGTGATTAAATGTTGTGTTACATCACTAGAAACCACAGTTTGCCAATCTGCCACAACTTACTTTCACAACCAATTGGACCATTACAAATTACAATATTTAATACTTTTCTTCTTCTTGGAATGCTATATATTTAAAAATATGCCAAAGTTACCCCATTTCTTCTTCAGTTCCCCTCCCTATATAATAGAAATTTTTAGAGGGAAGACAAAATAAACTTCATCCAAACATTGAAGGAAATAAGTAGAGATATTCCTCCCTTTCTAATGGCCAAAAAAAGATTGTCATCACAAGAAATCACTTTTTTCATATTTCAGAGAAGTTTGAGATCTTACTTTACCATACTTTGATTTTTGATGCATGACTCTGAAGAAATAACATACACCTGGAATTCAAATGCAATATATTATATAAAACCACAAAACCTGAATAATCATACCTCTGACACACTTGGAACTCTTGAAGCCTTCATCTTCTGTGCAAGTTCCATGTTATTTTCAACAACAGAGTTCTAAGTTATGGGTAAAATAAGGGGAAGCCTTTAATATACAGTAGACAATTAACATACAGAAGTAGGTATAAATTTACTGGTGGAGAAGCATTTGGACAGGAAATTATGTCCTCCTTTGTTTCCCTGCATTAGCATTACTGATTCTATCCTCTGCTATAGCTTCTACCTATGAGGCTGGACAACTCTTACAAATGGTTTGGTTGAGTCAAACCATTCATCCTATTATTTTAGCAAGTCTCCTTTTCTGAAAACAACTATTTGCTTTGGCATGTGTCACATTAATAACCAAGAACTAGATTCTCTGCTATTCAGAAAATGAACAGGAAAATGAAACAGACTGTTCCTATACCGTTTTAATCTGTTGAACTTGTAATTCTCTTGCATGGACGCTCTCTTGCCATTTCACCACAAGAGTCAGACATCAGAGAAGCCCCAGCTATTTCATTATTTACTTCTAACAGTACTTTTGTCTCTAGCCAGTCAGTAAGGCGTGGATTTTTAAAAGAGCTAGGGGACCTGCCCATCCAGTAACGAAGACTTCTGATGGAGACTGAGTAGCTGTCTCCCTTAGAAAATCCTAGTTGGTAAAAAATTGTTAACTTTGAGAAGTTACTGTTTGGGCAGCTGAAGATATGTTGCGTGTGTATATAAGGCTAACGTTTCAGTTTTCCATACATAAGCTCTTAAAACATTTGATTTCACCAACATTTGGGGGTTTTTTATTTTGTTGGTTTTTTTTTTTTGTCGTTTTTTGTTTGGTTGTTTTTTGTTGGGTTTTTTTTGTTTTTTTCTTGTTTTTTTTAAGTTAATAAATACAAGAGATCGACTTAATTCTTATTTCCAGTCTATACTGTATGGCTCAGAACAAAGTTTTAGTCATGGTAAACTAAAAAATAGCAGAACCACCTGTGAATTGAAAACTGATGTTAAAATTTCAAAAAATAAATCCAATCAAGGCATTTACAAATGGAAAAAAATGATCACAGCTAGTTTTTAATTAATTAATGCAACATTATTAACTAATAATAATACTCATAACCTTTTATAATTATCTGTTCAAGAACCTACCTTAACTTACTGGATTTAATTAAAAGAGTAAATACATCCTATTCTTAGTTCTCTGAAGCCAGATTATTTAAAATCAAATGAAAATTTACACCATACAGCAGGTATGTTAGTTAGTTCCATGCAGACTCTCCCAGAGTCTGGAAAGATGTACATGATAGTGCATCCCAAGTTCAGAAGTGTAATTGTTTTCACAGTGTGTGTAATCTCAGCTGATAAACCTTGTTTAAGAGGTGACTCTGAACTGTGTCAAATTGTGTATCTCATTAGCACAACACTTGGGATCTGTTTGGATCAAGCTGGTTTCTGTAGAGCCATTTATACGTCTGTGCAAGTGATACACTGTACAAAGACACTTCAGTTAATAGCCCAGAGAGCTGAGAAACAGTGCAGAGACAGTTCATTGGTCCTGTTAGAATCTGCCTTAAAGTCTATGAAATTTGAAGCTTGTAAACTGTGGAGGAAGCAATTCTGAGGGAGTCACACAAATATCCCTGTATTGTATCACCCACCTATACACAGTAGTATGCTATCATTCTTTGCCTGGGACATCCCAGTCTTGTGCTGCCAAAACAGAGTGTTCTCGATTATTAGTTCTACAAATTGTCCATACTGAGACATAAGTAGCCTTTCTTGCTTCAACATGCATGAGCTAAATACTTAAAACTTACTGCCTTCTGCATAGTAGTAAGATTCAGAAAAGACACTTTCTTGTCTGCCTGAGCGGCACGCTGCCTTGGTTTGGGTGTTGGTTTCTGTAAAAAAACAAATCTAGTTGAAGACCATTTATTGCCATATTTAACCATCTTATTTTACAGTAAATTTTGAGGGACCATAATTTTTCTCAAAGCTAAATCTAACTGCACTAAATTCAATTCTAAACAGGCAAGATGATATAGATTATGTTTGAATAAGCCATCCCCACAAATGGAGATATCTTTCAGAATTCAGGCACAAATGGGCACAAAACTCTACAGAATATCTATGGAATGCAATGTGAGTTCCAGGTGAGAAATAATTGTAGGACTGAAATCAGTGGTATCATGTATGTGGCAGAATGATTTATTATCATCATTTGTGGAGTGCTTGATTTCTTTTCTTGTTCTGTAGGCTTAGCATATCTTTGACACCTTTCCTCCTGCCACTCCCTTTGGAGAACTTCAACACAGAAACAGAAGAAAGACTGGTAATAGTTGCAAAATTAACAGAATGATCCAGAAATATTTCTGTCATGATGTTATAATACAAAAGAAAAAAAAAAAAGACAAAAAAAGAAGAAAAAGTGGTTTACTACTCTTCATGCTTTACTTTCTTGGTGAAGGAAGAAATTATCCTTCATTTCCACTGATTTTTAGACACACAAAAAAATCCTTACACTATTTTTAATTTATGAGTGATTTTTAATATGCTATTGGGTATCTTAGCACCATGCTCCAGGCATCAGAATAAGAAAGCATGTGGTGCAGATACACCTACATATCTGTACATATGGCTTGGGTCTGGCTGCTTGACAATTCTTTTGGCTCAAAGACACCCCAACTGAGTTATGTTTGAGTTTCTAAGAGACCACAGAAACAATAGCTGATTTAATGACTCTCATAAATTTCAACTGTAGCCCTGAAGTTGCACAGGCAAGTGACTACATTTTATGTGGGACACCTACATTGGAAAGAGAATTAATAAACACTAAATTTATAGGGAAGACATTTAATGTTTGTTATTTCTCCTACCTTTTCTCCCCACCCTTTTGCTAACCAGTTATCTACCATTATAAAAGACTTTAAAAAGTTTTGGACACAAGAAAGATTTCACTTCCCAAAAGAAGTCGAAGATGGTGGTTATATGAAGTATTTGTACTATGCATTATTTTGCAGTAAGGACAAATCCTGGTCATCAGGGAAGAACTAAATGACCTGCTGCAATAGGTCTTTTATATCTCTTAACTTCTGTGAGTTTGTTAAATTACTTACTGTCACTGATGAAGTAAAAGAAGGAGACAGAGCTGGAGTCTGTGTTTTTTCCTCTGCTAGTAATTTAGTTGCCATTGATTTCTCATTTTGAACGTAATTCACTAAGTCTGCAGCCATTGTTGATCCACTTGGTGCTCGGTAGACAAACTTCCATTTTAATTCAGCTGTGATGGTACCAGTGGCACATCTTTCAGAATCTGTTAGTTCAAAAGTACCTGAAAGCAAAATGCAAATCTTGTCTAAATTATCTTATTCTATACATACACAAGAAAATACAATGCAAAACTGAATGGGATTCAGGAATTAAGTAACTTAATAGTCTTCATTTCAGAAGCTAAATAGTGTCAAAATATTGTGTTTTATAGATCCAAGTATATCCAATATAACACTGTGGACATTCAAAAATACAGGATTTAGAAGGGACTGGATTACTGTGTTCATTCAAGATGTCCTGTAGGTTTCTCAGATAACCCAATACCAGATAACTAACTCTTATTGACATCTTTCAAAAGATCCAACTAAAACATTTCCATGTTTTACTAATACTAACTTTTGTTAAAGAAAATGTAAGGGTTTTAAAAAATCTGCGAGTTGCTAAATCTTTAACAAAGAAACACCCTAAATTCACTTGCACATTTTCTCCTATTATCCATTTATATGGGATAATTATAGAATTATATTTTAAAATTTTCATGAATCTCTTATAGTTGACAATGAAATAATCACTAAGCAGCTTTTATATTATAAACACCACAGTAAATTTGTAACTGACATCAACCTGTGGGGAGCAGTTGATGCATTGAAGGCAGGCCCGCTATTCACACAGTAGAAAAATGGGCTGATGGAAACCTCCCTCATGAAGATCAACAAAAGCAAATGCAAAGTCCTGCATTGGCCCAGGAATAGCCCCAAGCAGCAGTACAGGCTGGGGGCTGACTGGCCACAAGCAGCCTTCCAGAAAAGAGCTGGTCCTGTTCGACAAAAATAATATAAGAGAGCCAATCTGGCAGCAAAGAATGCCAACTGCACCCTGGCCTGTATTAGCAAGAATGCAGTCAAGCAGGTCCAGGGAAGTTTCACACTTTCTCTATTTGACACCTATGAGATGGCATCTGGAATACAGTGTTCAATTTTGGCCTCTCCAGCACAAGTAAGACATTGACATTCTGGAGCAGGTCCAGTGGAGGGCTACAAAGAGCTTTAGGGCATTGGAGCACAAGATATAGAAGAGGCTGAAAGAAGTGATTTGTTCAACCTTCAGAAGCAGAGGCTCAGACAGGATCTTATTGCCACCTAATAGGTGTGTGTGGAAAAGACAGAACCAGAGGTGCACAGCAGAAGGTGGACAGCCAATAGACACAAGTTGGAACATGGGAAATCCAAGCTCTGTAAGGAAAAGTTTTTATTATGAGGGTGATCAAACATTGGAACAGGTTGACCAGACAGGTACTAGATGATCTCTGTCCTTTGAGATATTCAAAATTTAACTTGGCAAAGTCCTGAGCAACTTGCTCTAACTGGGTCAGGAGGTTGGACTACATCATATCAGGACTTCCAGCTGACAATGACTCTAAGAGTCCAAGTGTAGCTCTTGATCTGTTTTGTTGTTTTTTTTCTGCTGAAGAGGCTGATTTCTCATATCAATTTATTATTCTAATTTATTATTATTATTATTTAAGTGTACATTAGCCAAAACTAGAAAAAGAAACTAATGAGAAAAAAAAAAATGAAGCCATGCAGAGAAAGAAACCATGTTTTAAATTAACATATCAGTCCTGAAAAAAAAGAAAAAGAAGCAACACCAGAAGAAAAGGGGGTAGGAAAAAGTATGCATATGCCAGGAAACATTTTTTTTTATCATTAGAACATAGAAAAGGACAAGTAAAAGAAGATATCAAATATTTTCATGTTACTTTTGAACCAGAGAAAAACACCTGATTTTTTTTTTTTCAAGAGTTATTTCAAGACACCTACATGTTTTGTTTCACAGATATCTTGTCAGTTATGAAAGCAGCACATTTTGAGTCAGGTTTCAGCCAGCCTTTCCCACCTGATGTTAAGACTAACAAGGCCTTTCTACCTAATAATGAAAGATACTCATAATATAGTAGTGCGAGAAATATAACTGGTAAACCTGGTAGGCTTCTCAAGGCAAAAAATAGTGGTAAAAGACAAATGCAAACAGATTGCTAAAATGCTACAAAAAAGAAAGCATCAGTAATTAATTAGCAATTAAATTTAGTCAGTGCTAGAGTGACACATCATTCAAATTATAATTATTTATCACATCATAATTATTCCATACCTGGGCCAGTATAGAGAACAAAAAAGGATTTAAAAGCCTTTTCATTCTTTTTAGGACCATGATAAACGAATGTTGGAACACCAGGTTCCTTCGATTTAATTTTTTTTTTTTTTTTACTTGTGGATTTTAAAGAAAATATTTACTGCTTTCTCTTAAATCTCAGAAAAATGTCATGAGCAGAAAACAATCCTACTATTGCAATCCACCCTGTGAGGTACAGGCATCCTGTTCAGATTCACTGCAGTTGATAGATAATCATAAAACCAAACACCACTTTAAAATTTGAGTTAAAATGCAACAGTGCTGGAACATTCAGTTAGTACTGTCTTAGTAAACAAAAGAGATATTTGAAACTTTTCTCTCTCCCTTGGTCTTTTCTTTCTCTAATGTCTGAAGTTTAACGTTTATATTAAAAAACCATTCATCAGTTTCAAAACTCTGACACAGACTTTTCACTAGCTATGACTTAATTAACACTGAGATACAGAATTTCTTTCCAGGATTTCACTGAAGTTTAAAATTGTGTCAGAAAAGAACAGTAGATGAATGATAAGGGGGTTTAGAATCATAGAATCATTTAGGTTGGGAAAGATCTTCAAGATTGTTGAGTCCAACCGTAAACCTAACACTGCCAAGTCCACCACTAAACCATGTCCTGAAGTACCACATCTACATGTCTTTTAAATACCGCCAGGAATGGTGACTCCACCATTTCCCTAGGCAGCCTGTTCCAATGCTTGATAACCCTTTCAGTGAAGAAATTTTTCTTAATATCCAATCTAAACCTCCCCTGGAGCAACTTGAGGCCATTTCCTCTTGTCGTATGACGTTTCCAGTGGGCAGCTTTCCAGCCACTCTTCCCCAAGCCTGTAGGATTGCATGGGGTTGTTGTGAGCCAAGTGCAGGACCAGCACTTAGCCTTGTTGAATCTCATACAGTTGGCTTCAGCCCATCAATCCAGCCTGTCCAGATACCTCTGAAGAACCTTTCTTTAGTTTGGTTCTTAAAGAGATTTAAAGAGATACAAAATAGGAACTAAAGATTTTGTTAAGTTTAAAGAAGTCTAATTCTTACCTGAGATAGATCTGTCATGTGCTAAAGAAATAAGAGGCACACTGGCTTTCCCTACATAAGCACCTTCTTCCATTTCACCATCATCAAATACATAAAAGGTTAAGGATTGTGATTTTAGGTATCGGTCTAAATCTGCGTTCATTGGCACTTGGAAACACATATGGTCATCTATTTGTGGGTTGTTGCTGCTAGGAATGATGGGAGTATCATGGTCTGCAAAATCAAAGAACTTGTAGACAACGTAAGGATTTGGCTGGAGATGTTTTTTTCGGGATTGTAGATTGTTACAACATTTTATTGTAATGTGGAGTTCATTTAAATTGCCATCTGTTGAAGTGCTGACTTGGGCAGTTCTGAGTATCTGCTGCTTTAAATGAAAAAGAAGTTAAATTAAAAACATTAGAATTCTTATGCTGGTGAACTCTAAGAACTGTATAAATAGAACAAATAACTGATTTCAATGACACTCCAACTACTGTTTAATTTTATATGTCAAAATATTACTGGTTCTATAAATTCAATGACATCTCTCTTGGGTTGTTGGTATAAGGAAATAAGAGGTTAATCCATTCAGGTCTGTTATTGCTTGCTTTATTCTTCTAAAGTTTTATGATCTCCTTGTCATTTGATTATCTACAAAGCAGTGGAGATCACAGTTTTAAGAATGATTCATATCTAGTGCCACTTTAAACTTAAGGATTCTGATTGCGGCAACTATCCTGTATCAAGAAATGTTTATAACTGTAGTCCCTTTTATATATGTACTTTTTGATAATTAAAACTGCACTGCAGATCCCTCTGGTTTTTGTTTCCTCCAAAACCTTTACCTACATAAATAATTTACAAAAATTAGAAATGAGCATCTGAAGAGTAATAATAAATGTTTGAAGTAAATTAAAAAATTCAATGACATCACAAATTTTTTGAATTACCTATCAGCATGGCTTGTACATACTGTAGAACCCATAGTTAGCAAACTGGGAAATTAATTTTAATAAAAATTAAAGAACAAAGAAAACAAATAATATGACTATCTTTTAAGTGAGTAATCCCCATCAATATTGATCTCAAAAGGCTCTCCTTTTTTACTGTAATAAGTCACAGCTATTTTCATTAATTGTACATAATTATCTGGCTTGTCTTCTGGTATATAGGTAAACATGTATCAATTTGATTTTGTGTGATAAAATGTTAAATATTTTGATTAAATAATCCACACTGAAATAGTTCATGAGAAAACCAAACATGACAGTTTAAGTCCTTAATATGCAACCTTAAGACTACTATTTCTGGCTACATATAAAACTGGAAAAAAAGAATTATAGCAGTTTATGCACAGTTCATGTTTCCATGATTTCTGCCACTATACAGGACAGAAAATTTTATATGTATGTTTAACTAGTGAAAGCTTAAATTTTGGAATGCACAACTGAAGCTACTTTTGCAGCAGCAGACTGACAGAACCCTTAACATAATGTAACCATCTGCTATAGCTATATGACTTTTAGTTTCTGCTGTGAAACATTTCTCAAAACTGCGGTGTTTCAAACACCTCTGTAGAAGCTGTTCTTCATTTCTGCCATTTTTCCTATTTTATTTTCTCCTGTATGATCAGTATATTTCAGTTGCCATGTTTGAATTTGCAATTTTACAATAATTACAACAAAATGCTCTGTTCCACATGCCTTACCTTTCAACTGTGTTTGGATTGGTAACACAGCTAGAAATAACATAATCAAAAATAGAGAAAACTAAATAACAGATTTGGGCATTTAACAATGGCCAGATTTTGTGAGTTAGTTAAAAATACCTTTGATTCTTTTAAAAATCACATTTAAAGTGAATGTTATCAAACACAAAGTTATTCTGAAAATGCCTACACTGACCTTTAATAGAATTCATACACTTAACATACTTCTCAGATTACATCACGGAATCCATTGAGATTCTAGTATAAAATAAATTTACATTATGGAATAATATAAAACATTAAAGTTACTCCAGACTTACAGTAATTTAAACAGCTATAGATAAAACAATTGCCTGTTGGAAACTCTGAAGTATTTTAATTTATACATTTCAACCTGTTTTTTTTTATTTCTTAAACAATTGTTAAAGATGCCTGAAAGTCCCTTCTTTTCCTGCTTGTGACCCTTATTTAAATGCGATTATACAGTGCATTATAGTATCAAAATTCTCTTTGTTATCCAGACAAAAAAACCCCAAACAACACAACCCCCCCCCTCGATCTCATAATACTCAAACTTTAAGAACTTTGATACCTTTCTGAACAACCACTTCACCTATTATACTGATCTGACACCCAGCTCGTTTAACATAGGTGAATACTGTACTAGAACAAAATGTTACCTAAATCTGGCACTTACAGGTTAAGAAAATAAAATATAATAATTTCAAAGATTCTAGTGCCAATTCAGTAAAAATAAATAACTGAAGTTGAAGACTTTGTCCCTTCAGCAAAGCTGTAATTCAACTGGTTCTTTACCTCTTTCTATGAAAAACACGTCATTCAACTGCTAAAGATGTTTTCCAGTTCAAGAACTTTTAACTGTGTTAACCTTGAACATATCAAGACTTGAAGTAAACTATTTCAACTGAAAAAGTAATTTTGAACAGTTTATTATATCAAAACTATGAAGTACAAACCCAAACATACCTGGGATGGTTGTTCACATTCCCTAAAATTGGATGTTATATACCCCAGGGCCTTTGACCTCTCTTTGTAGAGACTAATAGCTTGATCCATAGGAACTCGTAAGCTGATCCAGTATTCTACGATACCATAATTTTGAATGCTTCCTTTGATTCCTAAGGAATAAATACATATGGGATTGCATTAATTTTCTTTTCAGCATTAAAGTACTTCAGTCAAAAGCTAGGAAATGCCACAAATTAAAGATTAGTTATCTTGTGATTATGCATTATGACAGTGTTTGTGACATGAGATGTGCAATTCATGTTAGAAACAGAAATAACAACTCCTCTGGCTCTACGGGTATGAGCCAAAACATGACCATTTTTTCATAGGGTAATCTGCAATATTTACTGTCCAAGCTATAGAGTCAAGTCAAGTTCATTATTTTAATCTCTTTAAGGTAAATAAAACTTAGGACAGTTTTATATGTCAACAGTTGGAAATGTCTCAAAGTGGTATCCAGTTTAAATTACTGGCAAAAATACCACTTTATAATGGCTTATTAAACCAGATTTTTGACAGAAGTGAGCAGTTAGAGGTCTCCGAATATACTGATCTGATACATCTAAAAGAAAAAAGTAAGCAGCACAGAATATTAAGTACTTTTTAAAACAGGCTTGTCTGGGTTATCTTAAAATTATTTTAAATCAATGAATTAAATTAAAAGGAAAATAATGCACACAACCTAATCCAACTCCCCCCTAGATTATGCTACTGTATGAGATATTATTAACCATAATCACCATAATTTGCACCTTTTCGATGCCTTACGACTATCATATGAAGACCTCTGATTTACCAGTTTAAATTACAACCACCATTACCATTTCTTCCTTTATTTATAAGGAATGAGGCAACGTATTTGTGACATTTGGGCCAGATATAAAGCACTGATGTTTGATAGTCTTATAATGCAGAAATGTTTTTATTTTTAATGTATATTCTGCCAAACAGGGAAATTGCACATGCAAAAGTAAAATACTTTAATTTCATTTAAATATATTACAAGACTTCACTGAAGTTGAAGTAGGGCCCCCTTGTATCAATAACAGTCTCAGAAAATGAATGAAACCTGCATTAAACAACTAAAACACAACAATATATAAAATAATAAACCAAAACGAAAAATTCAGTCTTATTTTAAAATGTCTTCTCTACCGTATTCATAGAGAAATTCTAACACATGAATAGTACTACAATGCAATCAAGTACACTGTTCTACTAACTACTGTTCTTCATGGTTTTTTTGTATAATTCTGTTGAGTAAGGTGATACCATCTTTTATTAAAATTCCTTACATATGTAGTAGTAACACTTTGCAAGTAACCTTTATAGAAGACAAAGAATCACTTGCTATTTTTAGACAAGATTGTTACATACTTCTAACGTCACGTACTTCAGGATCTCTATATTAACACCATCTTTGTGCTCAGCCATTATGGGCAAAATTGCACCTGTGAAACCTTTCCCACAACTGTTGGTTGAATCACCAGAACATGCTGCACATCCAACATGAAATATGTTGTGTAAACCTTTTTTTTTTCCCTTTTGAAATAGTAATACATGAATTCATTGTTGGCCAAATACACATTACTTAGTTGTCACTTACAACACTGCATCAAACAGAATACATTTTGATATGTTAATTACCAACTAAATCCGCTGTGCTGTAGACCTTCCCATTGTTTTCCAAGATTTCATGGAACTTCAGTTGACATGCAGCAATTGTTTCATAATCTGTGCCATGTGCATGATGAACCTCAAGTGTGATACTGTTTTGCTGTATATAGTGCAAGAAGCAGTCGTCAGCCTGCACAAGATACTGAGAAGTGAAGTCATATGATGGGGTATGCCCATAAACTACTGGGGTTGTCTGAAGTTCAAAGTCATAGAATGCGTAAGTACAAAACGTTGCAGGTTCATGGTCACCAAAAGCATGCATAGCTCCAGAAGAGAAGATCACTTTGCTGATATGGATTTCAAAAAGGTTCTCTCCTCTTTCTAAATGTAAAGTTTCATCAAATTCATCCACTGGATCACCTGGCAACATTTCTGGTCTGGATTTATGTGGTTTTGTACCATAGACAATGTCTTTCAGTTGGGCTGCAACAAATAAAATAGAGCTACAATATGACCATCGTGTTTAAAAACCAAATATAATTAAAGACTGAGTAGAAAGGAAAAAACATAATTCAATTATATTAACAATGTTACTTTTTTAAAGGCATTACCAAAAAAGAAATCACACATTTAAAATCATACATCTACTGCTCATTTAGCACACTGACAACAATCGCGAATCCCTACACAATGGAGCTGCTTCAATATACATATAGACACAGGCCCCTAAAAATTAATAACAGATTACAAGGGAGTTTAACAAGCAAAAATACATATTGTTGTAGGGTTGAACTAAATTTGCCAGAGAAGGAAAGAATACATCTGACTTTTAAGCTCTGTAATATCTTGAGTAGACAGAACTATCAGCAAACACCTTCATGTGTTGCCTGGCCTCACAGGTGATAAATGGTGAGCAAATCAAAATACATGCTTACAGAATTAGGACATAAATTATCATGCAGTCCTTTAGTACAGGGGATGCAACTCCGAGACAAAGCATGAAAATTGTTATGACACTGGGGTTTGTAAGGTATCCTATTTCAGGCTTCCTATGCACCTTTTACACACTGAAGCCATTAAACCAGCATTTTAAATTCATCAGATTGAAATACTCCATAGGTATATTATACCATGTCTTTGGGATTTTTAGCAACACCAAAATGATTATGTAATGATAGGACAACAAAATAAAAGATTCACCATAAATGCAGGATTTATTTTAAAAAAAATAAAATTAAGTTTGGTAGTTTCTTATTCAGCAATAGCTGCAGCATTAACTGCTTTGTTGAATTTTGGTTGAGAACTTTACCATTTAAGTCAATGAAACAGAACACAGGTAATTTTCTATGAAAGAACTAACCTTTCTACTATTTTTAGGAGTGGAAAAGTGTTTCTACTGAAGAACAAATTTACAAAAATAATTTACAAGAGATAAAAGGTAAAAAAAAAATTAGAGAAGAATATACTTAAAGATACCTTCTAGTTTTCTGATGCGTGCAGCTCTAATATCAAGAAGATGGACATACTGTTCCAGTTTTAACTCATAGTCTTTCTGTAGACTTTCCATCTTTTGTGTCACTGCTTCTACTTCAGTCTGAAAAAAATTTGCACAGAAAAAGGACTTTTGAGGCTTGTCTGAACTGGTGTTGCACATGTTTTGGCTACAAATTAAAATACAGTTAGATTTGAAGAAAGAACATTTAGAGTACACAAAAATAGAAGCAATCTTAAATTCAGCAATACAGCAATCAGTTCGAATTTCAGCAAAATCTAAAAACATTATTAAAAAAAACAGACTACCTATTCTTTCAGGACAATGTTCCTAATAGCTTCTTTAATGATTTTGTTATTTTAAACTGAGATTAATTAAATGAAAAGTCAAAATATGATCGCCAATAATCCAGCACAAGAGAGCAAAAGCAGAGTCTTGTGGAAAAGGAAGCTTATTTGCTAAGTACACTTACTATTTTTCCCGTGAGGACCTGATAAGAGCTCCGAGATAATCCCAAGAAGGCATGGTTTGAGGGCTCTGATCAAGGTGAGTTAGAAGACTAAAGTTATGTTACTTGGATCTCAAGCTTTTTAAACAATACTTTCAACAACAGCAAATCTCTTGTTAGGTTACCTATAAACAGACTGGCTTTGTTGCTCAATTTGCAAATCTTAATTATGACAAGTTCCAGTGCTACAAATGTTAAAATGTTATTATCAGGTTATTACCCACTGTGAGTATAGAGTTTAGTACCTGGTAATTTTTGTTAATTTTGTGCTGCACAATTAACATATTCCTTGTCTTTTCAAGTTCTTGCACTGTTTCTGCATGTGTTAATTGCAGCTCCCGCATGGAGTGTTCTAAATCTTTATGGATATCATCTTCTACTTTTTCCAAAAACATAAGGTCCCCATTCTTCTGCTGCTTTCGAACCTGGAGCAAATTTGAAAAATTACTAGAACAACGTTTTGCAAAATATTTGGATGTATTTGTGCCTGGTTAAATGTAACACTGCGATACAATTTTGGAACAACAATAAGACAGTAAGCATAACTTTGTCAATTTTGAGTTTGTGGTAACACAAAAAATAGGAATGAGGTAGTCCAGTAAGTGTCACAATTGTATTCAGTAATCTTGTGATTACCAGGAACCAATTACAATGTATGAGATATTCAGAAGCAATCACTCCTGTCTAACCAATGAAAATATAAATCCCTTAATATATTTGCCTTTTATATAATTAATAATCCTGCTTTAGTGAATGTACAAAACCTGAATTATTATTCTTAAGTCTACATTGCTTCTGTCATTATTAACAGGGGTTTAATTGTCATCTAGGTTGGGGGGGGAGGAGGCTTGCTTGTTTGTTTGTTTTTCTTCTTTCTTTTTTTCATTATCATTACAGAATTATCATTTGCATTTCAGTAGTGGAAAAAAGATTCTATTTACACTAAACAATTCCTCAAGAAAATAAAACCTAAGTCACTGGAACAGTGGAAACAATGCAAACTTTTTTTTTCTCACTGATTTCTCCCCCCACCCCCACTTCATTTTCAATTTCACTGTACACAATAAAATTACAACTTATGTGCAAGAGAAAAAATTGAAAATTTTCTATGTATTTTCATTTTTCCTGTTTTAATAAACAAAGAGAAGTTGCTAATTGTTGTTTCACATTTTAGAACTTCCATGCTTATAGTATGCTCCCAAAACTTACAGAATTAATAAACAAAAATGGTTTTTTAATAAAAATTATATGAAAAAAATGGTATGATAAGTCATTTAACTGAGAAAAAGTAAGTTTTTTTAAAAAAATTCTTGTGCATCGGGTTTAATTCACTTTTGATGTTATAATGAATTATCTACATAAATCTAGATTTCATCCTGGCAATTTTTTCTTCTTCCCTTCTGCTTCACTGTAACTGAAAAATGACAAAATATGAGCTTGAAGCATTAACTACTAAAAGATGCACAAATAATTCAGCCCTAGAAAATCCCAGGCATTGTGTAGAAGACATGTAACAGTCAATCAAGGGTTAAAAAAAAAGGAAAAAAAAAGGGCAAAATATATAGAATCATAGAATGGTTTGGGCTGGAAGGGACCTTAAAGATCATCTAGTTCCAACTCCCCATATGCTCCTTCTTTGTAAGTTACCTTTATAAGCAAGAGGGCTTCATTCAGTTCTGCCACATCAACACCACTTTCCTGAAACAGAAATACTTAATGAAAAGGTGTTATCAGATGTGAATGAATATTGAAGAAACACATTCAGAATTACAAGATGCATTCTCACTAGACATGACATTTTGCTTGATATAATGAATAAACACTATTTCTGTATTCTTTTACTTTCAAGAAGTATTTGCACCATGCATAAAACAGAATGGGGTTTTTTTTTTTGCTCCTTTTCTAAACAGAAATAGAGTTTACCTTGGTCAAAAACTTCACGTGATTTTTCAGTTCATCTAGTTGTTGCTTATGTTCCAGGTAGCATAACTGCAGGTCTTTGTTCTCTTGCATGAGCTTTTCCTTTTGGTCTTAAGATAGAAAAAGAACAAAATATTCTACTTAATTCAACATAATTATAAAAAATTATAAACTTGCTTTTTTATATTAACTTATGCATGAACATTTAATTTTAAAATGTAGAAAGTAATTTATTTTGTATAGGGAAATCTTTGGTATTAACAAACAGAAAAAGAGGGATAGAAAACTACTCCTCTTTGACCTGATATAGATGTATGGATTAAAAAAAGCAAAACATTCTTACTTTCATTAAAAGGAAACCTACAGTGTCAAAAATCTACACTTTGTGTGTTTCTAAATAGAAGGATATGCCCAACTAAGTACAGCTTTCTGTTTTGGGGAGAGGGAGGGAAGAGGGGAATAGAGAGGATATAAAACTCTGTCAGTCTGAATGACTCAACACTGTTAAACTTATCAGTAAGAGGTTACACAGATTTTACACAAATACCTACTAATGCATAGCTACAGCCACAATGATTTCTCAAGCAGATGTGAGACAAAACTTAAGGATTAGGCAAAATAATTCAGTTTTAACAACATACCTTCTGTCACACGGAAAAGTTTTAAGAGCAAGCTTTTCTCAAAATCATTGAGGTTTCTAAGGACCAAAAGTAGTCTCTCACTCTCCTCCCCTGACCAAACTCCTTATTCTCTTGATAATAATATTTTTTCTTCTTCCATTTTTTTCCTGTTTTTTGAAAGTCCCAAAGTTATATTCTCATGCCATGTACTTAAATATTATGAATTTGTATTTTATGTCAGAACGATATAAATGTTAACTGTCAACCTGACATGCAAGTAATGGCCTTTGTAATTCCCATCTACACTCGTGGGATTTGATTGGTAAAACATTACATACTTTGCTGAGAATATATTCTACTGCTTTCAACAAAACAGTCCGCAATATCTTTTTAATGCTGGCATCTTTTCTATTGACCCTCAGGGCATGATGCACATCTTAGCTATTTTTACAGCATAGCTTTTCAGTTTAGAGGCTTGAACTCAACAGAAAACAGGTGGCTGAGATGCTAGTCTCAAGGGTTTTGAAATGTTTCAAAAATTGACATCAGGTTAGTTATAAATTTGCAGAGTTTATATATTAAATGACATCTTCACTGAAAATGAATCATCTGTAATGCCATTGCTCCCATACACAATAGCCTCATACACGTGTTGGGACTGCACAGGAGTCACTTTCAATTCAAACCCATAATCACCAATAAAGTTTTAATTCTCTGAAGTTATGAGGAAAACATAATGCATTTGTGCAATTGATAAGAAAATATAATTGAAATACAAAGGCCTAAAAATTAGAAAGGAAATAAGCGAACAATTAAAATAAGCCTTGTGAATGGGCAGAGAAGGCAGGCCTTCATAAAAGATGGTGAAACACTCATCAGCAATTGAGTCTTCTGGACTCTCCCAAATAACACCCAAAAGGCCTATATCTGTTGTGAGGTCTCCTACAGAGAAAAAGGGCCCCTCATGCTGATGTTATTTCTTTTCCGTACAGTATAAACTGAGATCTGAACTGGCACGTTTTCCAGGGATAAGGAGACAAAATATCCCTCCTCAAGTAGTTCTCACTATCATGAATTTTCTGGTAAGAGCAGCAGGCTCAGTCCACTCCTTCTCTAAGATGAACTCAGTGAAGTTTTTGTACACATTTTTAATATTCATTCACACTTGCTGCTTAAAAAGTTAACTTCAAAACTGTAAATGCTATCTAGAAGGAAAACTAGCTTTTGTTCAAACGGAGGCAATTTCTACAGCTTGTTGAACTAAAATGGGCCAATCTGTCAATAGCACAGCTCAGTCTACCTTAGCACTGTCCATGTTGCCTCTCCAGATTCTCAACAGGCTGTTTTTCTATGATCCCAACCAAAGATAAAAATGCAAGACATGCAGGGAAAGAGGCAGAAGGAAAAGGAATACTTCCACAATAGCCTTTATGGAACAGAAGTGACAGGAGGGTCCTGTCATTCAGTTTTCCCATATAACTAAACTGTTTTTCATCAGGAGCCACTCAAACTCTCTATTGGTTGTTTTCACTTATAACACTATCAGCACTGATTGGAGCACACTTAGATCAGGGTTGGTGCTGCATGCTGGCGGCTGCTTAGTTTGCTTCCCCTAATTTAACCCAAAAGCTGCAACTGAAGGGGAAGAAGAGCAGGGAGAGAAGAGGCGATTCTCGCACCATCGGTGACCACATCCCACAAGAACACATCATCACAACAACATGAGGGTTTTCAGTAGCAAGGCTATGACAGTAACAGCACAAGAAAGAGAGAAAAACACCATCCCAAAGGCTTTCGAAAACACTGCCACAGCAGCTTGCGTGAAAGGCTACAGAGCCATAAGTGGAAGCAGACTAACAGTTGCAGATAGCCCTGTGTTGATAAGGGCCTTAGAAGACACCTAAGGGACTGTGCAATAATAGTCTTCTCAGTTGTAATCAAAATACATATTGTGCCAATATAAGCAATCCCATTCAAAATCTGAACTTGCATGGGTGTCTTCCACATTAAATATTTGTATATATTCACAAAAAATGAAAATAATTAGAATCTTAATCAGCAAAAGCCTCCACATTTGTTAACCTCCTACATAAATTCACAGAAAGAGTTCTTATAGACCAACCAGTACCAACCAGGTAGCAGGGGAGGAGAAAAGAAAACCTTCACTGTCTTTCCCTGTAAATAAAAAGTACACGCTTCCAAGACAACTGAGACCCATTTTGCTTACTATCCCATAATCCACCTACCATCATGTACAAGAATATCTATCCTTCCCGTCTTCCTTGACAAACCCTCTATTTGTCTGGGTCCAACTTAGGGCAACAGGACTACCTTCTTTGTTAGCCCATGGAATAAAACCAGAACTGTATTTATGCTGATTTTTCTTGGTAGTTTTATGGACAGAAGAACAATATTTAGGGACTGAAATATAATTTTTACTCATATATTTCACATGTCAGCTTTTACTGACACAGAATAAATATTTGTCCATTAACACAACTGTCAATAAACTGCAGTTAGTAAATAGTGTACTCTGCGTAAAACAGTACTATAACTATGAACAACAAATGCAGCAAGGTATGAGGTTATATAATGAAAAATAAAAATTATTTAGACATAAATATTACCAAGTAAAGACATACACAGTAAGAATTTATGAGATAAGTGACACCAATCCTTACTGTAGTAATTGTTTCTACTTAGATTTCGTATTAGCTTATTTCAGCCTTTTGGGACTTGCATGAAACAACACTGTCAGGAAGATAAAATGAACATGAACCAAACAGCTATTGTAATTTATGGCTGAGAGTCTGTGACACATTGAAAAGACAAGAAACACAAGAATAAATTACTAAAGGAAATGGGGTACAGGGAAAGCTGATAAAGCATCTGCAAATACCATATTCTAATAAAAAAAAAAAGTGCAAATGTAGTCACAATGTGAAGTAAGGTATTCTGTTTTCTGTATAAATGTATTTCTTTTAAGTATTACAAAACACATTATGAAGTTATGGACAGAAAAATACTACTAAAAAATTCAGTTCCAAATTACATGATCACAAACAAGAAATACTGAAGGAGGACATGGAAAAAGGCAAGATGACATTCATCTTCTGTAGCATTAAGAACTTTCAAGACTTCATTTATTTAACATCTTTCTTAGTCTTGGAAAATAAGTTTTGAAAAAAAGATTCATATGCTGTACTAAAGGGCAGATAAGACACTATTTCTACACTAGTTCCAGGCAGTAGGTTAAGACAAACAGTACTTCAGTTCTCCCGCTGAACTTAAAAAAGAGATGTGCAGCAAAGGCAGATACTCTGAAGTATGTGATTGAAGAAACTTATACTGCCTAAGTTTTGTCAAAGACAAGAAGCTGTAATCAAAACCTAGATACATAGGCCTTGAAGGGTATTACACCACCTACTCAAGCTGCAGCAAATTCAATGCAATAGAAATTGAAAGCATAGTAACCTGGTGATCCAGTTTAAGTGTACAACAAGCTATTAAGTGCCAATCTGGGGAAGAAAACTGTATTATTGTAAATGTACAAAGCTGTAAATAGAAATTAGTATGTACTAAAAATATAAAAACATTCTGAATTCACAAAGTTGAAAGACAGTTAACCATCTTCAAGGGCCTATATAGGCTTCATGTAACTTTGTGCAGTAAATGAAATTCAAATAGTGGTTTATAATTTGAGAGTCACTGTCAGATGGTCCTTTCTTCCATAAGAATTTTCAATGGAGAGGAAAGGAGATATACAGAATAAAAAGTAAATATTAACCCAACAGAAGAAGAATGAATGCAGCTGGAGTTATATGATCCTCATTCAGCACATAACCTGTATTGGGTCAATTTTTGTACTTAATAGCTGGTCATAACTTAAGTATATTGTTCAAATGTACACTTAAAAGGCAGCTCTGAAATCACCAACAAACAGAAACTACATTTTTCTGGGCAATATACCTAACTCCAAACCAGGATAATCTTACATGATGAGAAAATGATAGTTATTTTAGAAATATACCTCTTTCTACTTTGATCTTGTCAAGGATTTCATTTTTGTCTGCTAAATCAGATTCGATAGCAGTCTCTAGTTTAGCAATTTGCAGTTTCAGTTGCTGTTCCTTTAATTTCCATTGCTGTTCATGGGTCATACTGAAGACACTGCAATAAAACATGTGGCATGTGAAAAACTTCTAGAAATCAGCTTCAACAGAAAATAATAAAGAAAAAAGCTTTTAGTGGCACAGAGACCACTGTCATCATGTCTTAGGAATTAAGTAAACATATGCTGGTCTGCTGCTGTTGAAACCAAGGCGCCTTTCTCAGGCTGTGGTTAAAAAACATGAAAGAGTTTGTGGGATGAGCAAAGGAACTGGCCTTAATTTAGAGCTCCAAAGTCAGAAAAATTGGCAGCATGCAATATTTGTGGGACTAGAAAAGGAATTCAGATGCATATCCCAGAGTAATCCACAACTCCAAACCTCAGCAACTGACAACTGACAAAACCATTCTTTCCGCATACAAAACCTCTTAATGTAGAGAACTGGGATCACCCACCTGATTTCTTTTAAATCTGTGAAACATGCAGAGCCTAAAGTCAGTTGCCCGTTCAAAGAAATGTTGACCACAAAGTGACAACAGTTTTCTCATACTGTAAAACAACAATTCTGATACTGATTAAGAAGCACATATAAAGTAATGTTTCTCCTACTTTAAGAAATAAAAAACAGAGCTGGGCAAAGAAATTAGAATAACTACTTTTGCCTGTAACACATTATTTACTTGTAAACTACCAATCTATGTGCAACAAGGATTGCATGGACACAGAATCAGAACTGCTGAAACCACAACAGAATGTGTAACTCAGATTGAAACAAAATTAAGTACATTATATAATTCACAGTATAATTCCCATTAGGTAAAAAGACAAAGCAATGCAATGTGCTTTCATATAATTTAGACAGTGAGTACTATGGTCTTCACGTTATTATTATTCAATACTTGCATTCTTATTAACTGGAAAAACGTCCTTCATCTTAAACTAATCATAAATCAGTTTATTCAATTTTGTATTCTGTGAGAAATCAGAAATTGTAGGGTTTTTTTAAACAAAAGAGTCAGTTCCTCAACTGTTCACTTTGGTGAAGCTCACCAGCTAAAAAAAGGGTTTTTTTATAGATAAATGTATATAAAAAAAAAAATCTTCTGATATCTATCTATTTATCTATCTATCTCTCCCAGAGATCGATGTGACAAAAGCCTCAACCCAACAAACATAGAGGAGAAGAAAGAAATATCGCAGAAGGGACAGCCCACATAGCTTTGCAGGTTTTTCAGTCATGCTGACTGAAAGAAAACTGCCTGTTTTGATGGCTATGACTACATAAAGTGGTTCTGAGGACATATAAGTGCATTTGTATCTAATATATTTGAAGAATGACCTTAAGATTAAAGAAAAAAATATTATAGCATGAATTGTAGACTCTAAAGTATATGGATTCTTATATTTACATATAAATAAACATATATTTATATATAAACAAGAGTTTATATTCCTGATTTGTGATCTTCATAAAACCAGTTCTCTCTCTCTGTATTTTGTCTTTTTCTCATACTATATCTATCTCACCTATTTATACAGTTCTCTAGGCATATACCATCCTACAGTGTGATAGAGTCTTTTAGAAGCATTGCTTAAGTTCATGCATGCTGTAAGTCCTACAGTAATATATACTTCACTCTGCTATAATTTTGAAGATAATATACAGCAAATATAATGCACTGAACCCACAGTCATTTCCATAATACTGCATAGGTACAGAAGAGACACAGTATGTTCTATAATTCCTTAGACTTACCACTCTTCAAAGTTTTATTGGATCCCATAGGGAAAGAATAAATCTTAGCAAGAGAAGATATCAAATACCCTTAGCTTTCACACTTCTGAAAATGTTTTCAAGTTTTAATGACCATGATACCTAGTTATATGTGCATTTGTTACCTTTAGGTATAATTACTTCACATAAAGATGTAGCTACACATTATTTCAGTTTTTCAAAAGACTATGCTGGCAGAAAAATCATTAACAGTTACTATGATAGTAATTCAGAATTTAGATGTTTAAGTGAAGAACATTTCAGAAGACAGGTTTTATCCAAGTTTATATAATGCTAATGTTTAGGTCAGTTTGGATTGAGCCCACTTCTGTTGCTTTCTTCCTTTGAATTTTAAGATTATTTTTACTTGAATTCATGTGGAATTTCTTTCACATTTACTGTATTTCACTAGAGTTGGAGCCATCTGGGTAGCTATAAATGGTCAACCACATCTGGCACTGTTTCCTTTGGAGGGAGTTTAAGCATTGCTAGATTTGCATTACAAGGTCATATGAAAACAATTCCTCCAAACGTTTTATCCAAACGAATTGTTTTCTTGGATGCTGACTAAATAATAAGAGTCAACTGACAAATTCATGCTTGTTCTTTGCAAACTTTTCAGATCCAGTTCTGCAGTCTTGGCTTTGGCAAAATATCATCACCTTCAAATGAATTTCCAAAAAAATAACATTAGCAAAGAATGGGTTTATGCCTCTTTTCCTATCTGGCACCTGTGGACACTGGCCTATTCACTGCTAGCAACAGGTAAGCTGTACTGAAGTTGCATTGTTCAAATGGGCAACAGAAAAAGCTGGTCATAAAACACTAGTTATAATTAAATGATCCATTTCTCTTTCTAATTTCTTGTTACCTATATAGTAACATAGAATTATGAAACATGAATCAAAGTTTAAATGGGAGTATATGAACAGACACATCATTTTAGGTAAAAGAAAAGCCATATTGTATATTACTGTGTTATGAGAGAACCATATTTAGATTTATCTAGTTAAACATCTTTTTAAGTTATGCCACTATGATTTAAATAGAACAGAAAATTTCAAGCCAAGATTATAAGCTGATTTGTTAGTAAGAGTTATTTCTCTGCATAATGATAGAGGAGAAAACAAATCATAATCAGAAATATTTATAACATTGTCAGACTTTGGAGGAATCTACAACAATGAACTTAAGTGAGACAACTGACCAACTGTCCCTACACAAAAGTCTAAATATTGTGATTATACAACTGTTACATCTCATGTAAAAAAAAAAATGTTTTAAGCTATTTGCACTCACCATTTTTTACTACTATAAATTTTAATTTCACTATAGAAAGTACAAAAGGTATAATAAATATTGTAAGAATACCATAGACAACATTTGATATCACTCACATTGCATTTAGTCATTGGCACTTTTTTTGACAGACATCACACTGACAAACCAAACAAACTTTAAGAGGAGAAATAATTTTGATTGCAGAAAAGACTTCAAGCATTTTACCTACTTTCAGAGGCAGTTATTAGTTCTAGGACACTTGTCTTATTTTCTAACCCTCTTCAGTGTAAAACACCACATGGTTTCACAATAAAAGGAAAACTCCATCTGAAGGTCATTTTTTCCTTTAATATGCTTGTGGCAATTGACTATAATCACTTCTTTTCTGTACCAGAGAATTTCTGAATCATATCTGGCAATGTATTTTCATTTTCATTTTAAGCACTGCTGATATAATTTATACAACTTACATGAGCCTATACAAAAACTTCAGGCAGAACCAGTACAAGTGAAATGGTAGCCATTACCAAAAAAACCCAACCACTCCTCAAAAATAAACGTTGGAGAAGCTGTCAAATATCAGACTTTACACAGGTCCACTGAGAAGTGCTGGAAGAACTTACAAAAGGTTCAAACACCCCTTTTCCCAAAACAAAACAAAAATAAACCCAAAGGAATATATGTCTACCTAGATGTATTATTCTTTCAACAATAACCCTAAAAAAAGAAATTATTAGAAATTCAAGTAAGAAGTGTTTGCGTCGATGTTCAAAATAAAGTGACTTTACTTATTTTTTTAATTAGATTTTTTAAAAGAAGTAATCTACTATTTCGAGAGTATTAGAACAAGTATGGAAGCTGCTCCATTTCAACAGAACAGATGAAATACAGACAGAACACCATAAAAGTTTCCATATACACTTACTGATATGACAAACTGTAGCATGAATATACTTACACTTGTACACAAACACACAGTATGCATATGCACATTCAAGCACACAGTATAAAAAGACCTATTAAAGAGGACAGGGATCAATTTTTTTATATACAGAAACCATAACTTACCTGTTATACAGTTTATCATAGTTTTCCCTCAAGAGTTCCTTCTCTGTTTCTAGATCATTTATTCTTTCCTGTAACTAAAATGAAGAAGGAAGTTTCAAGCAATGCACGGCACAGAAGGAAATTACAATGAATGTGTAGAGACAATTTGTTAACAATTTGTAGGCATTGTCAGGCTTTCATTTGTTCTTTTTATACAATAGTCTCCTAGAAGCTTCAAAATAACACTTGTTTTCATCACATGGATTTACAGTTGGCCCAGACAGCCTTTTTCATGTATACGAAGTATTTTTTATTGACCTTATAGAAACAAGTCCTTGCTTTCAAAATACTCACTAAAGCAGGATATGGTTTTAAAGGTATGAGATGCTTTAACCCAGAAGATATATCCCATGTGCATTACAATAGTTTAAATGTTTGGAGGAAATATCTATGAGGTAACCTTGGTTCATGTAAAATACACTCAAAACAGGTAAACCAGGTGGTAAAACTAAAGTCACTACAAAATGTAAGAAAAATAACTTTGTAAACTCTTACTACTCAGATGTTGAAGAGAACGAGGAATAAAAGACTTGATTTTTAGCCCTATATCTGGGTGACTGTTGGTGATGACTCGAATCTCTGAGAGCCACTAGACAAAGAAATAGAAGTGACTGATTTGAACGCCTGAGTAAAATGTAATACTACAGTGTACTGTAATTAAACCAGGTTGAAATATTACTAAAAAACTAGCAATATGTGATCAATAAAACAAGTATTATGATTTTTTTTCTGGCTAACAGACCAGTTGTTTAGTGTCAGAATTGACATGAAATCCTATGCTTTAACCTCAAATATTGTCCAAACAGTGGTGCAGTGATTATGTGCATGGGGACCAGGTATGCTTCATGATTCTATGAAATGCAAGCAGCAGCCACAGGTTTTTCTTTTTAATGGGACTGAAGTATATATATTACCAGGTCAGTCTTCCAAATGTGTTTGAAAGGTCTATTCACATCTCCGCAATTAAAAGGTATCCCATTGCTGTGGTGCATTCCTCCCCCCGGGCTGCTCTACAGTCTCAGGAATTCCCATTAGGCCCTGGCCTTTGTGTAATGATTTGGGCAGTTAAGCATCCCTTGACTGTACCAGGAACTCCTGCATGGCTAAGGTGGGGAGTGGCACTGACTGCACCAAGAATTCCTGTTGCCTGGCTGAGGCAGGGAATGAGAGTAGGAATAATTAGTCATCCCCGGACAGCCTTGGAACATCCCTTACCTGGATCATAGCTCAAGTGAAATGGTACCAGTGTTACTGGAGTTCCAGTAATTTGCTGATGAATAAAGCCAATCGTCTTGCGAACCTATAAACAGTGGTCCTAAGTCAGGCCCTTTGAGCTCTCCTGGACTGCAGTGGGCTGTGACCAGCATCTCCCTCTGAGGGGGACGCCTCAGAGCTTGCAAACTCTCCAGTTTGTGAAAATCAGAGGAGCATCACTGAAAGCTGACAACAGGACCTGGTTTGATACCCTTCACTCCTTGAGGCTCAACCCTTCGGCCACTGAGAAAATGCCAAGACATTTGACATGAATATTTCACTGAACTCGAGGGGAATTTTTAACAGGTATACCTTTCTTTGTATATGTATATCTTAGTGTCTGTGAGCACACGTGTGTGAATTGACCCAGGTATCCTATAGCAAGTATAGTATAAATATTGCCCTCTCGAATCTATAACTAAGTCACTGTTGTGATTGTAGTAAATTCTATTGAATCACTTTGTAAATGTTAAAGTGATCAAATTCTGATAAAGCTTCTCAATTCACCTCAAACTGTGAGTGAACCTCACTGCTGCTACACACATAATCCCTTTAGACGTAAACCATTAACCGAGCCTGGGACTAGGAGTGGATCCAGCTGCACCTCAGCTCAATCAGGAGTTTAGAAAGCAAGGGGGGGTCTTCTCTGAACATCATGACTGACCGGGAGGGTCTTCCTTACCTTTTTGTATTCCTTCCATTACACATAAACCATTGCCCAAGTCTGGGACTAGGAGTGGATCCAGCTGCACCTAAGCTGCATCAGGAGTTTAGAAAGCAAGAGGGGGTCTTCTCTGAACCTCGTGACTCAAGGGAGGGTCTCCCCTACCTTTTTACATCTCCAGTCTTTGTGCAAATCATAAAAAGTCAATTCTAACTTGATTTTTCTTTGTATACCTCATCCATGTATTAAGTAATGAGTGAACCTTGCCATCAAACTTTGTGAAGTGACACTTTTATAAATTCCTATTAAATCACTTTTTGCTAATACCTTTGACGGTGATTCTTTAAGAGGTCCAAATTACTCATTCGCAACACCCATCGTTAACTTTTCCCTTAACTATGTGTACTGCCTAAAGGAGATTCTAGCTCTCTTGAACACAATCTCACCTCCTCTGTCCTTTGGTTTGAAATAGTTACTGATTGCAATTCTTTTTCAAGATGGAGGCACTTTAACCGCTCCTCTTTAAGCTGTAGATTCAGTTCATCACCTTTTGCTATTAAAGCATCATGGCTGGTCTTCAAGTTCTTTTGGTTCTATGAAAAGGAAGGAAGGAAAATCCAGGAAAAAAAAAAATCACAATAAAATGTTACAGTGGTCTCTCACAGTACTATTTAATATATATTCTCAGTGTGGTCAACAGGAGACACTCTTGAACTAAGTAATTTTCATAATGCATGGCGAGGAGAAGGTGGCATTCTTGTTGCTCTCACAAACATTAAACCCTCAGTTCAGTCATGATGAAAATGACCAAGAAATACATCTGTTAAGCAATTAAAAGATTTTGCTGTGGTTACAGTGGTTAGACATGTGGACCAAAACCACTGCAGTAGCAAGCAAAAATGAATGTTGACCACAGTTATGTTAATCACAGAGCTTGCCACAGCTCTGTTAACCCTTAACTGTAAATATATAATTGTTTCATAATCCTAATGCACTCAATTCTATTTCCTTACTAGCATTAATTTAACAAGGGACCTATGATTTCTTTTACATTTTAATTTACTTCAATGGATTGTATTAAGGCACATTTAACCAATTTTAATATTAAATGGAGGATGCCGATAGAACCTCTATTTCCAGAATATTAAAGTTATACTGCCTACATTCCACAAGGCTTTAATAAAGCCTCATTCATTAAGAATTTCAATGTAAATCACATTCAAAGTATGACTCAGAACAAAACAGCCCAAAAGCCAATCTCCTGTTTAATAAAATGATTATATGAAAATTTATATCAAATACATGTATGAGTATAGATAACATTTAATGATTGTACACAGAAAAAAGTTAGCTTCATTTTTTCCGTATAATATTCCTACAAAGTAGTTAAATGAAGAAGCTGAATGTGAATCCTGTACAAATTGTTTAGGTTTATATGCTGTCTGAATAACCTAGAAACAAACAAAACACACACAGAAAACCCAATCACCAACCTCATCTTCAGCCTTTCATATCTCCTTTCTCAGTAAGAAAAATATCATGGAGAATAAATAATATTAGTAGTCAGTCTTATTTCAGAAAAATAATCAAGTATATTACTCGTCAACTTTTAAAAATGTCTTTAGTGCTCCTCTTGCTCTGTCCTATATCTGTGAACTGTATTTCAATAACTTCAAAAAATGACACCTTAAAAATAATTCTTTTACAGTCTTTTCATTTCTCTCCAAATTCCTTTCCTTCCTCCTCAAAATCAGAATCCTTACAGTCTCTAACCCTTCCAACTGCCCAAGTGAACTCATCTTTTCTTCCCCATCTCTCAGCTTCAATTTTTTCCTGAAGTTCTTTTCCATTTCAATAACTTGTCACTTCGACCCACGACATATAAAGAAAAAAAACCCAAACCCCACCTTTGCAAAGCTGCCTTTCATAGACAATTTCACATCTCTTTCCTTAATTTCTAAAACAGTTGAAAACAAATTCAACAATCACATTCATACTACTGAAACATCTTATTAAAACCACTAAAAATATCCTCCTGAAAAATTTCCTTTCTTCACCATCACTCTAATCCTTCAGTGACCATTTTGGATTAACTTTTCTCATTAAATTTAAGGGGACCATGACTTCGCCCTCATTATTATTATTTATTTTTCACCAAAATGCATTCTTTACCTGGATATTCTTCTTTATCTGAGTGTTCTGTCAGCGCTTTTTTTCTCTTATGCACAAACTGTTTTCTACTCTGCTCTCCTTAAAGTATCCCAAGACTCGGGTCATGGCAACAATTGTGATGATGATTTTAGTTTAATATTTCTCATCTGGAATTTTGTTTCTTTTAGAAACTTACCTCGATATTGTTGTCAATTAGAAATAACTCATTTAAAGAAAATCGATATATGCCTCCTAGAAATATTGCACAAATGAACATAAACTCTCTCAATTACAGTTGTGAAATTGTTGTACCAATTGTTCAAGAGAATTAATTCTTTATAAAGTATTTTAAATTGTACTTGGACAGGTTAGCATATTTCATATTACAAATCATGAAATCCTGAATGTTCAGTCTGTAATTAAAGCAAATAAATATACCAATGAGATCAAATATATAATCCAAACAGTTTCAGCGTCCTTTGTTCTTCCAAGCGGATTGCACAATTCCTTCATTCAACTGGCTACATTAAAACTCTATCAACAAAACTGTCCTGTAAATGTTTGGTATCAAGCTCAACTACAGTATCATTAGATAGAGCAGGATTATAGGCTCTTATCATTCTGTGGTTTCACATTTTGGGCTGACTCAAGTTTAAAGCTGAACATGGAGGAATTACACAGGTTTCAACTGGTAGAAGCTGAAAGTAAATGATAGTGAAGTCAATAGGCAAAAAAATCATCAAGATAAACATAAACACTGCTCTGCTGATAAGTACATGCCGTCTAAACTAGAAATTTTGGATTTTACAGTTATTCACATTTAGTAGATGCATGTTTCAAACATTCAAATGATGGCAAATGGGAAAACCATTGTATCCATTATCTTGTTAAAAAAAAAGAGACTGAAAACACACTCGTCCTTTTCAAAAACGCAGCTTTCACTGGGAATATTAGAAACAATGTCTTCAAATACCAGTGTGAATCCTAGGCATGTGTTTCTATTCAGCTGCTGCCAAGAAAGAGGCGTAAGTACTTGACGTTTGCTGTAAATTACCAAAAAGTCACATATGATTTAAAATGGAACAGTTTACTTATCGCTTTCTACTTAAGAACACAAAAAGCCATGTGAAACCTGTCTCCCCTGGAATTTACATTCTACATAGCTCACCCTGTGAAAAATTCGATTTGAGCTACTAACAGAAGAGCTGCTTTGGCAAAGAAGATACAGGTATTACACTGAAGGGAGGGGAGGGAAGCAAAGCAAAGCAAAACATAGAAGCAGAAAAACATGGGGCAAAAGGAATGGAACAAAAGTCTAATGGCACAACTGTTATTTAGCATACTAAAATAACAAGAAGCAGGCAGCAGTAGGAGTTTACAAGGCTATCTAGTGCTTTCACCTCATAAGGCTAGGGTACTTTATAGAGCTCTATTGCATGTAGGATTCCTACTCACAGGAACTCTCCCATTTCTAAGTTATAATCATACTACCCCTGTCTGTATGCATATGGAGTTCTCCAAATATATATAGGAAGAAGCAGAAGAATGCTCTATAACTAAAACCTATACGGAATCAACTATGCACAGTTGCATGTTCTGGTGATATTTTCACAAAACTGCTCTTTTTATAAAGAAAATTTATTACTTACAGTGGCCCTCTAAAATAATTTCCATGAACTTATGAACACAAGCCCTAACGTCAGAACTCTGAACAGCCAAACCTCCCCAACTTTATCAAAGACTGGTAAAGCGAGGGGGGTTTGGTACCCTTTCTTTGGTAAATCAGTACATTCAAGTCAAAGACCTCTCTTTAAATGATCAGGAATCTCTTTCGATAGCCAGACAACTCAGTTCATTCTCCACAATCTGACTGGGATGGCCTTGCAGATAAAATCTTTAAGACCTGCTAGACCCTTCTGGGGAAAAAAAAAATAAAAAAAAATTCAAGACTAAAAAAATGCTACACATTTGGAGTAGCTTGAGTACAATGTATTATGCGGTTCATTTTCATGTACCCAGCATTGATTCAGAGTCAAGAACTGTGTGTATTTATTTTCCATTTATGCATGCTCATGTGACAAGAGTAAAGGAATGTTACTGACCAAATTGCAATTACCTCTTGAAGCTGGAGAAATTTTCCTTCCATTGCTGAAAGAGCATTGCTTTTCTCAACCAGCTGTTTACGGACCTTGATCATTTCCACGTTGTCCCGAATGTTTAGCCTTCAAAATTATATTAAAAAGAAATGCATCATGAGCTTAAAGATACAAAATGAATTATCTTATTTTGTTGTGAAAAGTTGAAATCCTTTGCCCATCAGCTTTCTACAACACATTTGGGAGAAGATTTAGTGTGTAATACCCAAATTAATTTCTTGTTCTATAATCCACATTACAGAATTTAGGTAAATAAACATTCTACCACACGATGACATTGCAGCTTCAATCAATACATATGCATCTTTGTTCATTGTATCAAACTATATATGACAGGAAGAGAAAACAATCCTATACCTAAAGAGATTATTTTCCATTCACCACTTTTCCACCCTCCAAAGTATTTGGTGCCAGTACATTACTGTTTTACGGAGTTTCCTCTTAGAGTTTAAACCTATCAAATACTGCTAAGTGACTTAGCAATTTATACTGTAACACCTTAAGGCTGGTGTTCAAACAAGCTGCAGGTGTGTCCTAACTACATGAAAATCACTTAATAACGATGTAGATGTTCTATATTGTCACAATTCTAAGATTAATTTGAGAACATACTGTTTAATAGAAAGGATATCTAAAATAATTAAAAATCTAAATAAACATTTACTTATATGTTTTCCCTTACTTCAAATAGTGAAACTAAATCCCATTATTTTCACAGCTTCTTCAAGTACGGGGAGAGAAATCAATTCTGATTTGTATTAATATAAAAGATGATAAAAGCAGAATACATCTTTAGCATTTGAAAAGGTAATTTCTCTTCCAATATTTATCTATTTTAGACATATTGGACGAATTGTCACAATGCCATGCTGGAGCAAGAAAATGGACTACAAAGCTTACACATCTGTAAACCAGCTGAGTACGTGAAATACTTTCCTTTTATTCTGTAAAATATCAAATCCTATTGTGTTTTGGCATTGCCCAGTTAATTGTCCTTACACAGAAAATAAACACTCACAAACCCGAGATTTTCCCCAAGCAACAGCCCTAACACAATGCTAAAACTATCATGTGTCTAAAACATGTTAGCTACATAAATTAAAGTTGTGGTGAGTATAGAGAGCAGCACTGTCTCATGCTTGCTATTTAAAAGCTAATGTAGTGGCACGTTTTTATTAATCTTGTTCCACACATCAAACAAAAGGCTCTGATGCCTTCAAAGGCATTTTCTTTTTTTTTTTCCCCCTTCTTTTTTAAGCAGGGGGCTTTTTTTTTTTAAGCAGGGGGCTCTTTTTTTTTCTTTTTTTCTTTTTAAGTAGAAAAAGGAGCAGATGATAGTGAAATTTATGATGTACAGATGTAAACCCCATGGCTCCTGACAATCAACATTAACTATTTTTTCAACAGTGAATGAAACAGCATTTGATTTAAACAGGTTTGGGGTACTGATATTATGAAGTAAATTATTCAAATTTGGAAGTAAAAAATTACTTTTTTATTGGGATCATTTCAATCCTTACAATTGTAAGAGTATTTACCTCATGAAATGTCTAGCTACAGAAAGCACGTACAATTAATTTATTAGTGCATTACATTGATCACAATCTCAGCTCTCATTATAGGCTAGAGCAACGAAATTATTTCTCTACAGTACTTCTACAGTATTTTATTTATTTAAATAAAATATATCTAAGAAATGTCCAATGCATCCAGGTACATGGCAAGGAGCTTGCTGTTGAAGAACAAAGTAATTTCAGATTTTGTGGGCAAGGCAAAGTTAATTGAGGAAGATTCTGTCAGGAAGATTCATTTTTCTATAAATAAAGTCACAAAACAGTAGAGTAGAACAGAAATTGATTATCTACACAGCTTTGTCCCTCCCAGGTAGTTGATGTATTCTGCTCCCAGAACATCTGCCCAGGTATTCTGATATAACTTAAAAATAAGAGTTATATACAGATTTGATATAAAAGTCAGTGCTACCTTTCACTTAAATAGATATATTTTGCTGGAAGAGTAACAAAATAATGTATAATAAAGCTGTACTAAGATAGCTCATTCAATATTTTCTCTATTGCCAAAAAAGCCAAAAGCCACAGAACCTGAAGACATGGAAGTAGACCTGGAGAGCAGAAGTTCGAAAAATAAAAGGAACTAATATCCCTTTTGAGGCAGTAACCAGAATTAATGGGCATACTGATTTAGCTCTAGCACGCCTTCTACCACAAGTGCAGAAATGAGGAACATGAACTCTATCCTTCCATTCTAAACCTCATCTTAAAGCTGTATTTAAAAGTCTGAAATTGGAAATGAAGTTAGGAGAAAGTGACTCTTTAAAAAGCTAAGAATTATGTTTGGGGTTAATGTCTGAAATACACCAAAGAGACAATCTATTTTCCAGACCTCTTATCGTTTGGATTAAAAGCATATAGAGTGGGGTCCCAGTAACAGGCTGGGGACCAGCTGTGTGGGAATGGGGGACTGATAGCAACCTACACCAGAAGGAAATGATTAAAGAAAGGATCTTGACCTGCACTATACAAATTTATGCCAGTAAATCCCAGATGGCTAAGATAATAAAATTGAGGTCTAATTAAACCACATCCCTTGCATCTTGTCTTTGCTTCCATACGAGCAGGACATGGATACAATACTGAGACTACTCTTAGAGAGTCCTGACTATTTTATCAACTGGACCAGTAGCTCGCAAACGTTCTCCATTCACATTCACAACAAGAAAAACAAGCAAGTAAAAAAATATCACCACCATACTTCTCAGGATCACTTACGCTCTGCCTGGCAAAACAAACAAAAGGTTTCTAGGCTAATAGTTCTCAATCACAAATGCATCAATGGCCAAGATATATACATAGACTCCCAAGCACAGAAGTAAAGAATAGAACATCAATGTGCAATACTCTTCTCATTTTACAATGCTTAGGAACTAACAGGATTATATGTTGATATACATTACGTTCTTTCCTTTACCTCTTATTTCTTACAGGAAGTCAAATACAAAGGGGGTAAAAACCCCAACAGTGTTTACCTTCTAGTAGCACCTTTATATTGTAATTGATAGTATATTTGCACTAAGCAAAACATTAGCATTGCATCAACAGATCTAGCATCTAAGTTTTTAAGATTATTTAAATACCAATATAAAATTCTGTATTTGTTTGCCTGGCTAAAGAGCTACCTAAAAATGAAAAAAAAGTCATGATCTTTAGGGAAACTGGTTAAATATGAAAAATCAGATATGGAAATGCAAATATAAGGGGTTTTTTTTATATTAGACATGATTTAGCAAATTCATATACATGCTGTAGTCTCTCAAAACCCTTTAAATAACGCATTGTGACTAACACATTCCACATTTTATTCTAGGTCTGCAATGCTATAATGCAAACACAGAAGTCATGAATGTGTCAGATATGATACTCCTGTCCAAAAATCCACACATTTAATAGCTTTAATTCCAAAATCATGTTGCTGCAAAAAATGCCAGAGGAATTAAAAACTGACTGGCAAATAAGTTTTTGCATTAAAAAAACCAACCAAACAAATGCAGAAATGTGCAAATGCCAAATACCTGTTTCACAAATGCATTTTGGGGTGGCTTTAAAAATGTTTTTGGAAAGTACCAAGAGCAATTAAGTTATTTGAAGCTAGCTGCTTGCAAAATGTGATTGTTTAGACAATGTTTTAACTTGCGCACTGTGTATTATAGACATCAAACCATGAGGTTATTATGGTTTTGGCCATCTTTAAATTAAAAACAGTCAAGCTAAATGCAGTTAAATTTTCTACTTAAGAAAACATGTTTAGTCTAACAAGCCACAGGCCAAATTTCTCCCTTAAGTCAGAATTAAATATTCCTGAAACAATCCCCAAACAATCTCTAATGAAATATTGAAAAGAAACATTGATTGCAGCCATGTTACAATAATCATGTGAAGGAGTACACTGCATATGAACTCAGCTCTGTTATGTAGCTCTTAGGTTATTATACAGAAACTGTAGTGAAATTGCAAAGGCAGCTTTAAAATATTACTGGATTTCTTGCGGGCATAGGACTCAAGATAACTAGTTATCTCCCTCCCTTACTGCTGATGGATCAATGATTATTAACTGTGGGTGCTTCACTACTTGGAAACTACAGTTATTTCAATCACAAGAATTTCTTAATCATGGAGCAGAATAAAGAATGTCTTCCTAAAGGTTGAAAGTAACCTAATTTTGTTAACACCAGGCTGAGATCAAATGGTACTACAACATGAAGATTAGTGGAAGCATATTTATTATGTCCTTTTGGCACCATACTGTTCCTAAAGAAGTTCAACACATTAACTGTCTTTGGGTAGTAATGTAACTAGATGAAAGCCAACTGTATTCTTACAAAACACAAGAAAAAGCTGCTAATTGTACCAAAATTCAAAGATATAAACTACAAAGATGCAATAAGATGATCTTATCAGTCACCCAAATTTCCAATTTTACCTCCAATATGCCATATTGAGAGCCTCTTCTCTGCTGATGCAAAGATTAAAAATAAGAATTACATAGAACCTATAAATCTATTTGTGTAATAAAACAACTAATACAAACTGTTCTGGATAGCAGTTACAAGACTCCCAAGAAAGCAAGCTAATGAAAATCTCCTAAAGATAGCATGTATAGGTACTTATGGTTACAGTTGAACCTGGAGAGAATAGTATCCCTCTGAGTTCTGGCTCTGGTTCATTCAGCATTAAAAAACCCGTAACTTGAAAAACATGGGGATTAACAGCCTTTCATAAAGTATTCTAGTGGCAAAATTATAGAACACACACTATTCTAGATATGGACATTTTTCAATTTCTCTCCCATTGTCTTCAGCCAAACACTGTAACTCTTAAATACTTAAGGTATTTTTCATCATTTCAAACAAGAAATAGACTATAAAGGAAATACTTCCAGAACTTTGAACATGAATTCACAGGCAGTAACTTAGGTCAAGTATCACAGATTGTATACAAGTAATTTTATAAACATAATAAGGATCTGCACTACTTTTTATAGCCTGACTTTATTTAAGGATTTTTTCGCTGAATTTGAAGTGTATCTTTACTTTAAAACTCCTTAAAAATGTCACAGAAATATGGTAGCTGACATTGAATTTAGATGTTATGTTCAGTTAATGTGTGCTGTACTTAAAGAACAGTATTCATCTACAGAAGAATGAAGCACAGAAGTTTTGAGATTTGTATCAGATTATTTTCAAACAATGAAAAAAATCTTTAAAATATTTTCTGAATTCACCGTAGGCATAGACTGAGAAATTATAACAACAACAACTTCTTTAACCTATTTAAACTATATAATGGAAATTCTGAATAGGGGAGACTTATGACTTTGTGAATAATTTAATAGCAAACATCATGATGTTTATGTAGCACCACTGATACACAAAGAATGCTCGCACATAATAATAGGGTCCCTGCCTTGAAAGGCTGTTAAAGAACTGACCACGTATTTCTGATCCAAGTAGAACTTTCATTGAAATCAAATGAGTAAGGAATGCAGGATCGTGCCATGTTGGATCCTTAATACAACTAAAAGTAACAGGCTGAAACTGAAACAGTCAAAAGAGGGAATATATATACAAAGTTATATAATTTTGCATATATTTTTGCAAAAATGAAAGAAGAAAGAGAAAGATGAAACTAATAGAGGTTTTATTGTGAAACACATTCCGCAAGCATGTTTGTCTGACTGTTTTACGGCACAGCTATACCATATCCCTTCAAAAATTTGCTAATCTATCAATACAGGGCCATTACTTTTCTACTATTTGTAGACTCCAAATTATCAAGGAGTATTAATGAACAATAAATTACCCACTATGAACCCCTATCTAAAATTTTCTAAGAATTATATTGAAGAAACAATAAATGATTAAAATTTAATGAGTTGAACTTCAATTGAATCTGAATCAGCTGGAAATGAATTCTCTAAAATGGTAATTATGAACTTCTTTGTTTATTTCTGCAAAAACATCGTAACTTATTATCATAACAATCTCCTTGCTTAGAATTATCCATGGCTATTTGGGAAAACATTTTATGACTTAGTTTCAAAGGGGAAAAAAATGAATAAAGCACATATTTCTTAACAGAACAATTAATTTTTACAGCTTTATATAAGCCTTATGACATAGCTCTTCTAATGCTTCCACCATGGAGATTTCCATTTTTCACAATACCTTTGGCTTGCTGTTTCTTGCTCTTTCAGCCGCAGGATGGATTCTTCAATTTCCTTTTCTTTCCTTTTTAGCTGACTCACAAGTATCTCTCTAGCATGTTCTAGTTCCTCAATGTGTTCCCTTTGGGACTCAATCACAGTCTCCCTGCAAGTACAAGCATCTTACATTCCAAAACCAGGCAAGTATTTAATAAAAGAAAAAATTAAATGAATACTCAAGAGAACAAAAATTTCAAAAATGTTCAGTAAAATTTGTATTTCTTGATGACATGCATCACAACAGACATTTAAGAGTTAACTTACCATGAAAATAATTAGAGCTCACCACAAGAAAAGATGTGAATAGTACAATAAATAGATAAAGAATTCAAACGCATTATCAAACACAACACAAACTCCTAAACTAAATGTTTATGTGGACTGAATAATGTTTAGCAGAACCTAGCTGAAAACAGTGTTCATTGTTTATTATACTGCATATTAAACGTATCCTCCCTCTAATCCATTACTATTAAGTGTTTTCTGAAAAAGAAAACACCATTACTAGCTATAAAAAAACATGAGGTCTTCAATGGATGGAGCAGTGAAAGTGATTTTTCAGCTTTTATTCTGAGTTAGGTAACTTTACGCATACACACACAAGATTCAGATGATGTGTCTTTAACAGTGGAATTTATCCACTAAATGCAATTAAAAAAAGAAAGGCAGAAAACTATACAGATCAGAGTCCGAATATTGTTAGTAGGCCACAACTTTGCAATTTCAATTTTCTTGACAAGTTAATCTCAGGTATCTTTTTCAATAACATTTCTTCTAATAAGAATAATCAGCAACTCATCTACAATTTTTTCCACTCTAAAGCTTTCGATGCATAAGCTACAGTTCTTCATTACTTCGTATACCTATCATAGACTTAAAAGTACCTTGAGTTTTTTGGCCATGTGTTTGCTTTTGTACCTGAGTGCACCATTTTGAGCGACGGTGGTTATTTTTTCCACCTTTGTGAGAACTGAAATCTCTGAAAAAAATGTTATTTGAATGTTTTCTGCATTATAACACAATGGTTTTGATCAGTCTTAGGAGAAAAGCTATTGTGAGAACCAAGATTCATGGCAGTCTTAATGAATAGCTCTTAATTTTCCTAGTCTTCAAAAGCGATAGGTATAGCCCTTTCTAGGCCCATCACTACAAAATTACTGAAGATTTTTTTTTAGCAACAACATTCTATTATAATGCAAATTATTTTTTTTAAAAAACTGTAACTGTTTAGCAAGGGTTAGATTCAGACAGGATGCTAGCAAGAGTGCAATCTAAATGTTGTTAAATAATTAAAATTTATTTATTAAAATCATTTATAGGAATATTTCTGTAAAATTATTTCCTACGATCCCACTAAATCTTTATGTTTAAAAAACTTCAAGCACAAAATACATAACTGCACATTAATTAATATATATGTATACTTAGCTTGCCCATTTATTGAAAATTTAGAATTTATGGATATTTATGTAGTAAATCTGATTTAGGTAAATAATTTGGAAAGAAACACAAATACTGAAAGTAGCTTTTAGAAAACCAGGTATCTAAAAAGCTAACACGTTCCAATATACTTTGAAGAAAAAAAAATATTCTAATCAGACCTCAATATCTTTAAATTAGATGTCAACTACCTTTTCTCCACCCTACATAACACCTCTCCATTCTCATGCAGTCTCTACATTAAGGATGTTATCAAGAGTTTCCTGAGCTTCAATTTCAGTTAAAATGTGCAATTGGACTACAAACCAACTTTCAAAATGCAGAAGTGAATCAAAATCATTTTATGTTACTATCCCATACTGCACTTTTTGCAACTTATCCATAAAATCTGACCACCTCTAGAAATGAAGCTTAAATGCATCAGCGTAACACTTTCAATACAGTCACCACTTGCACGGGTTATCCTGCACATTTTAGGAGTCATGTTGGTAATAATTTTGCAGCCAAGGTTTTTTCTGCTTTTGTCAGTTTTGTCCAATAGTAAGCTAGGCAGCATTGCATCTTAGCAAAATGCGAGGCTCACCAGTGGAGATCAGTTTTAACTTCCAGCCAAATTCTTATGTACCTACATTCTGCATTCTAAATCTCTGATCCTGTATTTTCCTTATCATAAAACTCTTCTGCACTGTTACCAATGTTACTGTTGTCAGATCCAAGAACTTCACTTTATTTTCTGAAGTGAAAACTTCAGAATTTTTTTTTCTTTCAAGAAAACCACAAGTTTTAACAATTATAATGACAGAAATTAAGAAATATGAAAATCATACAAATTTCTTATTTCAGCCTTTGGATCCTCAAGCAGATTCTGTCCATGTATTGGGAGCACAAGGTTAGGTGATCTTGCTTCTAAATCCTGAAATCTCATTCCTGAAAACAAAGAAAAGATAAATTTTTGTCATGCTGAATGAAAAAGCATTTAACAAAACAACAAGCTCTATATAGTACAAACACTTACAACTCCTATATAGATGCTATGAAAATTATTTTTACATCAAATTCAGATGGAAAGTGATAATCGGAGTATCTACAACAGCTGCCATAAAATTTGAACTATGGGTGATACAGCATGCACTGTTAAAGAGAAAGGTTAAAAACAAGTCTTGAAATGTTTTTCTTAGAAAATTATACTTTTAAAGACAGAGAACAGAGATGGTGTCTTCAAAGAAGAACAATATCAATATTATTAAATAGGAACATGAACTTGTAACCACTTTTTCTCTGATAGCACTTTCTTTACAAAATCACAAGTGTCATTGACCTGGACAAGTAACTACAGGACCATTTTTAGCAGCACTGCAAATAATTTCCTTATGTTCTTTAGGAGCATACTAAGTCCCTGGTGAAGAAGAAAAGTGAGAAATTACTTAAGGAAGAATTGTTAGTTGAGGAGCGAAAGCAATGGTTTCTCCAAATCTCTTCCTCCTACTTCTCTTTCTTCAGCAAGAAGAAATTAATAAAGTTTTGACGTGGGACCAAACTATGCATTAAATTTCAAATACACCATTAAGGCTGCCATCCCTCAGTCCCAAAACTGAGTCATTCAGGTTCAAGGTGCAACAATACCACCAGGTTCACAAAACGACTGAAAAAAATTTACCTACTTGGCATTTGTGCTGAGGTAACTTGATTTATTTATATGTTTTGAACTTTGATCTTTAAGTATTAAGGTAGTTGTGCTATATACGTGTATATATATGCCTGGAGCATGTATTTTTAATTTTTGTTCAAATCATGATATATCTTAGATGGTTGTACTCAATAAAGAAACTAATGAGAGAAACCAGTGAGTACTTACCGAACATTCATACCTGACCACATCTTTTGGATTGACTTGCTATGGTATTTATACATCAGCCAAACACAAAGCAGATACAGTAATGTATATTTATTATTTGTGGATTCGTCTTGCCTCTTCATACCCTGGAGACAGCTAAGTTCTCCTGAATTTTTCCAGATATTTTATTTTTGGATAATTGCTCTGAATATTTTCTGATCTGTGCTAAAAATATTTTGAGATTCAGCCTTATGGTTTCACAGAGCAATCTAAGAGTCCAGCAGTCTTCACAGATAGGAGGCACATACCTGACACTAGACTGCTAGGTTTATCATCATTAATCAAAAGGGCAGGATGAGAAGACATGCAAGGGAAATACATGAAACATCCTATGCTAATGAATACTACAGAAAATATTCTCTGACCTCCTGGAAGACAACACTACTGTGTTCAAGTTCTGACTATCAGTTAGTAGATTTTTAATAATAGTCTTCACCTTAGAAAGTGTGTTCAATAAACTGCATATTCATAGCACTCAAATTATCAGAATCCCTTCTAGTTTGGATAAGGTCTTAGAACTGAGATAGGCACACTAGAACTTCTGTGAAATTTCTGAACATTATTATCCTAGGTCTGCACAGGACATCTTTGATCTGGACCTGTTCTTATGCCAAGAGAAGTCCTCACAGCATGCCAGATCAACATTTGATCTTTAATCCTTGAACCAAGTTGCCCTTTTCTCTCTGCTAGCACTGGGCCTAAATAAATTTGTTATATTTCTACACTATGTTTGCACTGTTAAAACAAACAAAGAAAAACTGATTTTGGGAATAAAACTGCCTAATTCATGATTGTCCTGGTTTCGGCTGGGATAGAGTTAATTTTCCTTCTGGTAGCTGGTATAGTGTTATGTTTTGGATTTAGTAGGAGAAGAACGTTGATAGCATACTGATGTCTTCAGTTCTTGCTAAGTGGTCTTTACACTAAGTCAAGGATTTTTTAGCTTCTCATGCCCCGTCAGCAAGAAGACTGGAGGGGCACAAGAAGTTAGGAGGGGACACAGCCGGGACAGCTGACCCAAAGTGGCCAAAGGGATATTCCATACCATGTGACATCATGGCCAGTATGTAAATGGGGGGGGGGGAGAGCAGGTGCCCAGCGGGGGCAGATCACTGCTCGGGAACTAACTGGGCATCAGTTGGCGAGTGGCAAGCAACTGCATAGTGCATCACTTGTTTTGTATATTCCAATTCTTTTTTTATTATTATTGTCATTTTACTATTATTATCATTATTATTATTTTCTTCCTTTCTGTCCTATTAAACTGCCTTCATCTCAACATCTCAATACTCAATGAGTATTATTTTTTTTCAATTCTCTCCCCCATCCCACTGCGGGGAGGGGAATTAACAAGCAGCTGTGTGGTGCTTAGTTGCTGGCCAGGCTTAAACCACAACAATGATATAAAGTATGAAAATATAGGGGTTATTAAAATGTCAAAACTTGCACTATATTCAAATTAAAAAGTAAAGAACAGCCAATTGCTTTTTATTGCCTGTCTAAAAACATGAGAATTATTTCTGTTTTCATATACCTGAATAATCAATGTAACTATCAAAATAAAGACTGGTGGGAAGGTGAGATGGAGGAAGAAACCATTATATAACTGTCCATCAGCCCAATCCATAGTTTATAGAAGTTAAGGAGACAATTCTGCTGACTCAGTTTTGAATCATGGCCATAGCTGTCTTTTTTTTTTTAAACACATTATCTGTACAGTGTATAAGTTAACTGAATACAACTACCTCTACAAATGTTCATATGAAAATAGAAAGGTTTTAAAGTGTAATTTCCAAAGGTAGCTACCATAAATAAAGGACTAAGAGTGAGACTGCCTTAACCAGCAAGTCTTGACAGTAAAAAGCATCATTAAAGACGGCTGCATTGTGGTATTTGCTTTCAAAAGTCCACACATGTAATAGATGTTTCAAGTCTGCAGTGTTGTGCACACGTGTATCAAGAGACTAGAGCAAACCTTGAAATTAAAAAAGGAAAAACATGTTGAACCAAACTACAGATGTAAAACTTTGTTATAACATGATAACGCTAAACTTTTTCATATACTCCTTTTATAAGTCTTTAACATGCACAGAAGTTATACTAAGAAAGTCCCCTGGTTTTAACTATTAGGTAAGTTGCTTGATAACTACTTTATTTTCAAATGTGTACTTTGGTTTTACCCATACCACTGCAGATTCTCAAAACAAGGACTTCAAAGGCAAACAAGTTATCATGACTGCTATAAATAAATACAAGAAAAAGAACAATCTTTCTGCCTACAGGTACTATTGCTCACTGATGAACAGAAGAGAGTATGTACTTGCTACAGTGAAGCAATAATTAGTGGTACCTATATAAACTACTATTTTCAATAAATGTGAATTATACCTTTCTTTGCGTGCTCCGGCATGCCAGCAGCCTCACTCACTTTTTTGAGACCAGTGTTAATACGAGATTGAACATAGCTGTACGAACAAGGCCTATGGCCTTGAATCTGGAGCTGCTGTTTAGTTGAAATGAGTTTGCTGCGGAGGCTCTCGTTTTGTTTCTCAAGCTCACGAACTCTCTCTTGCAAATGCTCAATCATTTCTTCCAGCTCCACAGCCTGACCCAGCCGCTTGGGGCCGCCACCAACCTGTTCAGACCTTTTTTTATCATTAACGAGCCGTATTAACTTAGTGGCCATTCTGGGGAAAATAATAAAAAAAGATGAAAAAGAATGTGAAAAGTCAGCATAAAAAGCATTCTGTTGAAAGGAACATAATCACTGTGAAGACTTCAGCATAGAACCTGAATAATAAATTTCAGGTTTTGATATAACTATTACTGCCCGTGAAGAACTCTTTGAAGATAATTGAAACCACTGTGCAGCAATCTGCTTTATAGCACTGACAAATAACAGTTTCCTAAGGCTTATCATTTAAGGTTAGTAAAGGGAGGACACATATTTACTCCATATGCTGCTTAAATGTAATTTTTAACACATGACCTTATATAGGAACCTCTGCATGCTGTTAAGTAAAGTTACAGATTTGGGACGTGGTGGGGCAAACTATAAAAGTTACAATTCCACAAAACATTCAATGATTGAAAGAATGCTAATAATATGCAACATTCCAATGATATATCTTTTCTAGTATTTTAGGATTTAAATATTATTTCAGTTCTAAAGTGGCTAAAATATATAGGTGGAGATATTTAAGAAGGTACTCCGGAAAAAGAGACTTAATAGTTCTCGTTACCATACTCAATTTTATACTTCGGAAATATTACCAATGTGCTTCAGAGAAGGAACGGTTAGCTGAAGAATATAATTAGATACAGAGGGTATGGTTTTCATCTGTCTTTAAAAGGATACAAATTTTGCTTTTGGCATCTCAAGAGTTGTACCTTTGATTTCCTTTAGTTTTGATAAACATTGGTAAGCTAGAACAAAAGGCAGAGAGGGCACATGGGAGTGATGTAATATACAAGAACAGAAAACATACCCAGCAGTGAATGGAAAAAACTTGGCATATAAAGAAAGAAAAGGTGGCTTTGATGATAGAGACAAGTTCAAGACTTTACAAAATTGGTCGCACATCTTCAAGACCTGTATCTAGTTTGCAGAGAATCTATTTTTGCAGGCCCAGAAAGAAAACTGAAAATAAGGACACACTTCATTTGTTTAAAGGGGCTTGTTTTATTTTTGTATACTTGTGGACAGAAGCTTCTACTTAAAAGAACAAAAGTGAAACAAAAAAAATCCATAATAACTTTAGGATGTCACAGAATGTTTCTTGCCTGTAAGCAAGTTTTTTTGTTTATTTGGTTTTTTTCAATGTACTACTGCAAATTCATTCCAAACTTTTAGTTACAAGGGTTTTGGCATGAGGCATGCTGGGAAAGAAATAGAGCTTGAGGAGTTAAGATTTTTCCTCTAGCAGTCTAGACAAACACTGTATTTTATATTTTCTGTGCCTTAAAATATTAATTCAGGTATTCCAATTTGGACATTCCATGTAAATTTACCTAAGTGGATGATGAGTGCATTTGACAGATCATCTAACAAACACAGGAAATGCCATTTGGAATAAGCAAACAATTCATTTGTTCCACCACCTTGTATTTGACAATAGCCTGACAGAAAAGATGGAAGTTCTGTTGTGCTGGTCAATTTGATCCTGACTCACTGAATACCAAGTCAAAAGGAAAGAATGTTTTGGACTTCAGAAAAGTATGAAATAGTCCCACCTACAGAGGCAGTATCTTCAGATGCCCTTTCATTAATTGGTTAGCTTCTGTCCAGAAGCTAGCTGCTTAGATGCAGCAACATTTTATTAGCTGTTTAACATCTGTCAGTGACATAGACAGTGGGATTGAGTGCACCCTCAGCAAGTTCGCCGATGACACCAAGCGGTGTGGTGAGGTTGACACGCTGGAGGGAAGGGATGCCATCCAGAGGTACCTTGGCAGGCTTAAGAGGTGGGCCCATGTGAACTTCATGAAGTTCAACAAGGCCAAGTGCGGGGTCCTGCACATGGGTTGGGGCAATCCCACACACAAATACAGGCTGGGCAATGACTGGATTGAGAGCAGCCCTTCGGAGAAGGACTTGGGGGTATTAGTAGATGAATAACTGAATATGAGCCAGCAATATGCACTCTCAGTCCAGAAAGCCAATCACATTCTGGGCTGCATCAAAAGAAGTGTGGCTAGCAGGTTGAGGGAGGGGATTCTGCCCCTCTGCTGCACTCTTGGGAGACCCCACATGGAATACTACGTTCAGCTCTGGGGTCCCCAGCATAAGAAGGACATGGACCTGTTGGAGCGAGTCCAGAGGAGGGCCATGAAGATGATCAGGGGGCTGGAGCACCTCCCTGATGAGGACAGGCTGAGAGAGTTGAGGTGTTTTAGCCTGGAGAAGAGAAGGCTCCAGGAAGACCTTATAGCAGCCTTCCAGTACCTAAAGGGGGCCTACTGGAAAGACGGGGAGGGACTCTTTAACAGGAAGTGTAGTGATGGGATGAGGGGTAATGGTTTTAAACTGAAAAGAGAGTAGATTATATTAAATATCAGGAAAAAATTCTTTACTGTGAGGGTGGTGAGACACTGGAACAGGTTGCCCAGAGAAGCTGTGGATGTCCCATCCCTGGAAATGTTCAAGGTCAGGCTGGATGGGGCTCTGAGCAACCTGGTCTAGTGGAAGGTGTCCCTGCCCATGGCAGGGGGGTTTGAACTAGATATCTTCAAGGTCCCTTCCAACCCAAACCATTCTATGATTCTATAAGTAATTTTGGATTAATTAGCCCTCCTGGAATATAGCAGTACCATGAACAGTTCTGCTGAGTCCAGCGCAGCATTAAGTTTAACAATAAGCCTAAAGTTGCTTGCATATGTTTGGATACACTGGGTACTGTGCTCCCCATGGTACTTGGGACTTCTTCAATGAAGTTATCTATTACCCTGAATAAAGGAGAGCTGATCATAATTATAAAGATATTTTAGGGCTAACTAGAGCCCATCTAAAAGGCTAGATATCAACTTCTTGGAGGACAGAGAAGGAGAAAAAAGGGGCAGAATCTCTCTCTATAGGCCCTTTGATTCTAGGATGAAATTCCTGACGAATAATTAGGCTTTTATAGCCTCTTCTTCAGTTCTCAGAATACCTGTTATATTTGTACTGAGACAACATAGCTATGAACCCAAGGTACCAACTCCGAAGTGGTGGATAGCAGTGTATCTCTCTACATGGAGATCTAATACTGTCCACTGCAAAAAATATCCCACATACCACAGAGACAACCAGAAATCAATACAAAAATTAATTCCAATGAATGACTTTTGCTGCTACTTTGAAAAGTACTCTGAGAGAAATCAGCATGATTTTTAATTTGTTGATAATGCTCTGAAGGGCAAAAATGTTACTGTGAGCTAAAATAAAAACATTAAAACCCATACCTTTTAATTTTCTCCTCTTGCTTATTTGCATGCTGTTTGAGTAAGATGTTCTCATCATGTAAACGAAGAAATCTGTCTTCCAGTTCCTCTCGACTGATTCGTGATACAGCTTGTCGAGCTTTTACATTCTGTGTAGTTGATGATTCTACCCAAACCAAGACAACTTTAAATTACCTTCAATACATTCAACAACATGTAATCCAAAGTCTAACCCATTTTGAAATACTGAAAAAAATATGAAAATTTTAAAGTAACTTGATATTTTACACTTGTATGACTCTGTTGATTAATTTTTTCAGATTTATTGGCATATTAATCACTTCCTTTTTCCTCCCTCTTACAGATGAAATAAGTAATTCAAACAATATAGCAAACCGATTACCTACTAGATAACACAAAGGAAATAGTTTAGCAAGTAACAAGGTACTGTCAAACATACTACTTAAAAAAAATAACACGAACATTACCACAGAGATGCTTTTTAATCTGTTTCAAAGTTAACATACTCTCTTGAAGCTTTAAAAAGTTAACTCATAATTCTGTAAATTTACTAGATACAAGACTGAGCCCAGTAGTTCCATTCTAATAGCAGCTGAGTAACATATCAGAACTGCATAGTACTTTTGGTTCCCATTTTGTTAAGTGGGTCTGGCCTTGCCCTCAATTCAGCAAAAAAGTCCTCTTTTCTTCTGGAAGGATGAACTTTATAGCTCAATGAGATTTCCAGGTTTTAGCACCTCATAGCAACTCCCCTCTTATAACAAGCAACATGAACACAGAATGGGTCATAGTATTTTTCAGAACTTAACCCAGATTTTGAATGGCATTTGAACTTAATTTTGTGAGTGGGAATGTCAGAAACATGTTTAGAAAGAAACTTAAGAAGCCATTGATCAAAGTCTGTAACTGTAATAAATAGCAGATGGTACAAACCTTGTAATCCTCCAATTCCAGCTAGAGTTAGACCTACGTCTCTCACAGGCAGGTCCCCCACAGTTTCATCAGCTGGAACAGACATAGCTTATCTATGGATAACAAAATTCAAATGAAATTCTTCTCCATCTGTAACTTAAACTGCGAGACTAGAATGAACTACAATACATCATATAAAATGAAGGAAAAAGTAATGACAGATTTGTATGTTACTGTAAATGCTCCTATCTCAATTGTATCGCTCAGAGGACAACCTCAACTTTCAAGTTAAATGTTAAATCAGTTTTAATCTGTGCACAAAATACGGCTTCTTTGTTATGCAATAGCTCCGACTGTATTTAATGTATGTAGAATTAGCTTTTTTTAAGTTCTAGTTCTGTTGTCTTCAGCAATCTTTGGGCTAAGGCCATATTTTTAAGTGCATGTGGGAGGGGGACCTGGGCAGGGGGGTGTTCATTTTGTTTGTTCATTTTAAGACAGGTCAAAGCTTAAGGCATCAACTGGTAGATAACTAATGCCATCTTCTACATTTTGAATGGGACTCTTTGAAACGGAGGTGCTGGGGGTTATGAAGTCATTTCAGTATTGCCTACCATTCTCTTAGTCTTCTTTCAATCATTGTCATAAGAGAAATTACTTTCCAAGGTAGAGACTCTCCTATGAATGATTCTCATAAATACGAACACATTTCTTTCTTGAGGCTACAGAAAGCTTAGCTATGTGACGAAGTGAGATTAGGAAATTATTAATGTGAGAAAGTACTACATTTGTTTCAGTGTAATATATGAAGATACTCGTTAACAACTACTGTTTCTTTCTTCTCTTCCAGTGCAGAAGATTAGATGTCAGCCACAGAGTCAAGTAAGGCTGATATAGCATACAAAGAGAGACATGAAGTCCTTTGGACAGTCTTTTTTTCCCCCTATTGTTGCACACTTCAGGTGATATAAATCCTTAGTGAATCTAAAAACATCTAGGAAAGCATTGGAATGTTACTAAAGACCTGCATCAGATGACAGAAGTGACACAGTATAATCCACAAACATTCCATGAAGTATCTGTTAATTCTATCCTAACCAAAACTGCTGCTAAAGATATGCCTTTCTTCTACCAGTAAAGTCTTCTATCATAAAAAGTTCTCCTTATGGCTTTGTCCAAAAGGAATGAAAAGGATTAATGGAAGATTAGATTCCAGCAAGTCAATCTTGCTTTCAATCTTTTGTTTTGTCATCACTAAAATTTAGGATAAAGTATTATTTCCAGCTTTCACTGTTTATATCAACCTGAACACATTTTTCTTTCGTGTGGAACAAATGCTTCCTTGTCATGACTGTTGAAATGCCTGAACTGATCTACCGTTGTAGATTAGCAATAAGTTTCAATGCTCTCAGTCACAGAAACAGAATACTACTTCATGACGTTGAGGTCCATGGCATGCAGCCATTGTAATGAATGGCACAATTCTAATGACAGATGCATACCTACTAGAATCCAGCTCCTCAGTGTTCTCAGCTCTTTTTGTGTTATTCACACAAATCCCCCAAAACTTTTTTTTTAATTTGTTAAATTAGCACTATCTGCAGTCATTGACTTCACTCAGGTCTAGGTTCATTACTGCAGTCATAATTATACGTCACTGTATCAATATCACTACAGCAATTGAGATTAAAGTGAAACAGAAACCTTTACCTCTAGATGATCAGTCCAAATTTGGTTCATGATGGTGGCAACAAGAAGATGCTACCATTATATGTCTTTCTAGAATGTGGTTATCTTAGTCTTCACAAATCAAAAATGACAGGTTCTTTTGGCAAATATCAGAGAGGTCAAGAGCTAACCAAACATTTTATCAACACAACTCCACAATGTTTGTGATCTAGCAAAATCAAGTTTCAAAAACTCTAGCACAATAATAGGCACAGGCAAACATTACTGGTTTTTACTATTTGCCACTTGCTAAGAAACTTTGCTATGGATATCTGCCTGTTATTTTCAGTGTGAAAGAAATACATTTGTTTAAAAAACAAAGACAAAACAACACATGCTTATCCCTCAAATAAACAAACAAAAACCCCCTTGTCAGTAGTAATCCATTACTGGCTGCAGCAAAAACACAGAAATATTTAAGTTGCAAGCAAACAAACATAGCAGGGCTGGACAGGAAAGCCAGTTTTTACTGGCAACATGACATGACTTGAAGTCAAGTGACAAAATAAAGCTACTATAAATCTAAATCCCCAAAACTTAGAAAGGTCAAATTTTCAAGAGTAAAAGGAAGAATTCTTTGTTTCATTTTCATTACAAAGTGACAGAAATTAAGTATTCAGCTTTCTTTTCTGTCCTAGGCCACAGGAAAAGAAAAAACAAATTAACTGTTTTTATGAAAAAGAATGTTTTTAGATAGAAACAGTACAAACCTGCCTCTTGATTTTAGGGAGGCAAAATACAATTACAGATTTAGAATTTGGCCTGGCAATTTATTTGCCTCATCAGTAACATAAGAACCACCTATGTCTTCAATAATCACTAACAACCATCATCTATGCTTCTTCTTCGAGAAAGGACACTTCAAACAGCAAATCATGTGTTACATACGTTTTTGAATATTAGGCCAGCGTCAATCACAAACACGGAAACAAAATTACTTTCCTTGCAGTCAACAGTTCCAGCATTGTTTCTAAAAGCATGAGATTCCTCTACAGAGTTCCATATTACTTCTTTGGAAAGCATTTGCAAAGCAATTAAATCTGACAAAACTGTACAGCAACATTGCCACAAAAGTGATTGTACTTAAGAGTCCACCATTTCCTAAAATAAAGCATAATAAAGCAAAAGAGATATAAATTTGTATTTGCATCTGGACAGATCCACATGCCATGCTGAACCTCAACAACTTAACAATTCTTATTTCCAAAAAAAGGTCACCCTACAGTCACTTCAGCACTTCTTGTTCCTAAAAAATAAATTAAAAAAAAAAAACAACCAAAAGCCTTCACATACAAAGAGAGGAAAATTTTCCATATCTTTGGGATTAGCCTATAATAATTTCAAGTTTGGTATAAGCAAGAATTTTAGATATAGTTACTGAAGTTAAAGAAACCATAACTTTCTTATATACTGCACTACTACAAAACTGGTGCTATCAGCACCTGTATCTGACGAATTACTACAAAAAACCACATACAAGTTTGCAGTGTTACACAAGACCAGATAGTAATGAGCATGAATACTTAAAGTTTCAGATCTCATGCTTTAGGTTCGAATTCTTATATAACTCACAGAAGCATACTGTTCTCACTGCATCATTCAAATGTGGCAAAACTGAGGAGGGATTACTTAAATTTCCAAAAGTTCTCAGCCAGTGGGGGCTAGTTCTCAGCTTGCAGGGTTTCTATTGAAATCGTAACAATTACAACACTTAATCATTTCAACATAGATTTAGAATTTCATTAATCTTGGCCATGGTCAAGATGATGGTTTTCTTACAAAATCCTACCCCACTTCTCTGGCAGAGGGAAGAAAAAAAAAGAAAAAAAAGAAAAAAAAAAGGGGGAGAGACAGACCACCCATCTACCTTAGCCTATCACAAAGTATTTCCAGCCTACATTCTTCCTGTATTGATTCCTTAAAGATAAATGTTTGCACCCTATGGGGCCTGGTATCTAAAATAATCTCATTTATTACTTGGTAGGAGTATATACACATATCGTCTTTCAAACATCATCTGTTGCAGGGTTGTGAGTTTAAGGAAGTGGAAAGGAAAAAAAGAGAGAAGATATGGAAGATATTAGGAAAGGAGATCACGACATCCTGCTGCAGTCTGAGGGAAAAAACATCTCCCAGACCTGTAAATCCTACTGCAACACAGAAAAATCAAAACAACCATGTCTTGCCTTCAAGATGTTTTACAAGTGCTTTCCAAATTTTTCTTCAGCTCCGTCAGTGCTGACAATAACTTACACGACTGGGGGGGGCAGGGAGGAAAGGTAGCGTTTGCCTCCTGAAGGAACGCCTACACTCCCCGTTTTTTCCCGCCCTCGGGCACAGGAACACAGCTCCCGCTGGAGTCCAGCAGCCTTTTTACGTACGTAACAGAGGCCACAACTGAGGAGGGCTATAGGGCTACTTTTTAAAAAAAAGGGCGAGGCTCCCTGCCTCTTCCCACGGGCGCTGAGCCGCGAGCGAGGCAGCCTCACAGATCTGAAACGACCGCTTCGGGAGCGCAGCCCCAGGCCGGGCCCCCCCTCAGCGCGGGAGAGCGCCGACCCCCAGCTCCTCAGCGACTCCGGCTCCCCGGGCTGGGGACACCCCCGCGTCGGGTCGTGGCGCCACATCCCCCTGAGTAGCTCCAGTATCGCTGTCCTCCCCCCGCCGTGCCCCAGAGGAGAAAAAGCTCCCCCCGTACTCACAGCTCCCTGCTAGCCCTATGTCTTCTCTCAGCGTTCTGTTAGCAACTACTCCTGTTGCTACCCGAACGCTTCCACTTCCGGGGACTGCAGGACCCCGCTGCCCGCTGGGAGTGGTAGTTCGGGAAGGGCCGAGCGCCGCCTCCGCCTCACGCGAGGGACTACAGCTCAATTTTCGCCACCTGCTTCCCGCGCCCGTGCCGCGGGGCGTGCCGGGAGTTGTAGTCGCCCTCAAAGCTGCGCGTCGGGCTGGTGGCGGCGGGGGCTGCTCCGCGCAGCTGGGGGAGGACGGCTCTCGTTTCGGGCGGGCGGCTGGCCGGCCGGCCGAGGCGGCAGCATGAAGAGGAGAGCGGGGGAGCGGGAGAAAGAATTGAAGGTACCTTCTCTTTGCTTCCTGCTCCG